AGAAATTCAGCTATTAATATTTAAGGATGTTAAGAACCTATTACTTTTTATTAATAAAATCAATTACTTGCAGGAGCACAGAGTGTGCCACCATTTCAGCAGCCCACTGGCTCCTCGAAGCTGTCAGAGAGCAGGAGCCCACCTCAAACCTCTCCCTGTGGAACCTCCTCTCAGGTCATTTTTAGTTACAGACTGACACACCATTTCTCAACAGGAGCATTTCTGAGCCAGATCATAACATGATCAACACCCAGGACTGACTGGGAACATTTCTGGTGCAGGTTGGGTTCAGCCACCCATTTGCAGGAAGGTGCATTTCAAGGTAACGTGATGTTAAAAAGCATAAATGAGGATTATTTATGCTTTATTTATTCATTGCTGATTTTTGTTGCTTTATTTCTGATGGCTTTCTGATACTGAAATGCTTTAAACACTGCTCTAATCCACGTTGCACTCATGAGTTTGAATCCAGTCATGTAAAGAGCTGGTCTAAGTGAACAGTTGCCCATAACCAGCCTCATTACAACTCAATTAAGTCCATTTGCAGAGTGCATTGCAGAACTGGCCCCTCAGGAATTTCTTATGTTCCTGGAGCTTATTAAATTGCTAGATATCTTCAACAAGGCAACAGCTCTGCATCCAAACCATCATTTATTCCTATTTGCCTGGTTAGCACTAGCCACCTGTTAGCTCTTATTTTCGCACAACTGGACACTTCCATTCCTATAAAACTTTCCCCATTTTCATAATAATCTGGCTTTTAACACCAATTCCCTGACTAAACAGTGCAAAACTCTGTTTTTCAGCTGCTCTGACATGAAGTAACAGCCCACTGTCATGGACAATGCTAAGTTGTACCAGAGGACATTCATGCTCCTCAGGTAATTGCCAAGCATGACTTCAGTTCTACAGAAGCTATTATGGGAAATAAAACCTAATTTGCAAGCTCTGTTTTTTAAAACAAATTTATTCACTGCACAGCAACCTGTTTAGCAGAGCCTTTTTCCTGTCCTGTGATGTGGGTGCTGCCAGGCCTGTTTCTACACAATTCAGAAACACCTGCCTGACCTCTCCACCCAAAAGGAGATCCACTGGCTCCAGGTGGCAGAGATGGTCTGATGTGCTTGCTTGTCTTGCACATTTATGTCATAAAGTCAGAAGAATGGTATGTTACTGAATCACAGAATGCCTCCAGTTTTAAGGAACCCACAAGGATCAACAAGTCCAATTCCCCTCTCCTTGCAGGACTACCAAAAACTAAACCTTGTGACAAAGAGTGTCCTCCAGATGCTCCTTGAACTGTCACGCTTGGTGCCATGAGCACTGCTCTGGGGAGCCTGTTCCAGGGACCAACCACCCTCCCAGAGAAGAGCCTTGTCCCAATGTCCAACCTGAACTTCCTCTGGCAGTTTCACTCCATTCCCTCGTGTCCTGTCCTGATCAGAGGGAGGAGATCAGCACCTCCCCTCAAGGAAGGTGCAGCTGCCAGGAGAACCCCTCAGCCTCCTCTTGTCCAGGCTGAACAAGACAAGGCACCTCAGCCACTCCTTGTAAGTCTTGCCCTAAATTAACTTACACTCCCATTCCAGGAGCCTTGCTGCTGTTTGGAGACAGAATCCCAGACTGAACACACATTTGTTTGCAGTCCCAGGGCTAGGCCTCCCAAAAACTGCTGTCAGCTACTGCACTGTTCCTTCAGAGAAGTGAGAAGAATTAGCAAGTTAGAGTAGTGATAAGTAATTCTTTTCTCTGAGGGGGAAATGCATTTCTTTATTAATAAATAGAAGTAAAACTTCAGTCAGAGATAACCTGTCACAACAGAAAGAAGTGAAAAAGGTTTATTTTCTCAAGGAATAGCTAAGGTTGAGCAGGTACTATGTCAGAAAGATTTTAGGCATCGCAAGGTACAACCAGCAATTTTTCTGCTGTGTTTCCCCCTCCCCTCTCAGCAGTGATTCTGAAGCACATAACCAAATTCTTAGTCAATGTAATGTCAAATAGCACAAAAAACCCCACTCCCTCACAATCACATCTTCCTTTGGTATCCCTGTGACAGCATTCCCACTCCTCGTGTTTACAGCCTGTTACTTCCTGATGGTTGTCCTCTCCTTGCTTTGGATCTCAGAAAAGTGAAATGTTGATATTGAAAGAGAAATTCATCTGTGTGATGAGTAGTTATCCGGCATAGAAGCTGTCAAACCGTGGAAGTGTCTTACAACTGCCATAGAATAATGAAAATATTCTTTAAAACTGTGACAACTGCAAAGTGAGACAGAAAATGAAGCTGCCTACACCTGGAGACTGCTCTCCCCTGTGTGAGCACATCAGCCTCTGCTCTGGACTGCACAGCAGGTTTCATGGAATCACAGAATCCTCTGAGTTGGAAGGGACCCACGAGGATCATCGAGTCCAACTCTTCCATGACTGGCCTGGACAGGGATCAAACCCACAACCTTGGTGTTATTATCACCATGCTGTAACCAAGGGACAGACAGACCATTTTGCTTCCCGTTTCCCCTCTGCCAAAACAAGGCATTGTTGCAGTCCTGTTTTGGAGGAGATGGGAGATCTGCCAGGATCCCAAGGGCAAGCAGCTCCTTGCACAGGATCAGCCTTGGTGTGGGGCAGGATGGCTGATGGAGCCCCACCATGGTCAGGGGCACCCACAGACAAGCAAAGGCAGCTCAGGCTGGAGGAAGTCTCAGCTCACTTGAGGAGAAGCTGAGGAAAACCCCTGGCCAGTGCAGAGCACAGTTCCAGCCTTTCCGAGAATGCAGTCAACATAATGAATGTGGTTTTTCAGGAGTCAAAATAAAGATGGACATGAAGCTTCAAACTCTGCAGAGTCCATAGTACCTGAACCTGCACCCTGACTGTCACACAGCAAAGCACTTGCTTTGCACAGAGGATCACAAAGATTCTGTTTGCCACAGTTCCTGAAAAGCTGCTCATTTCAGTGAATCAGACCTTGTCTCGTTGAAAACATTTCTTGACTCTATGAAAAGCTGAAGATTTATATGCTTTAGACACTTAGGCAGAGATTTCCACAGGTCACCTGGGAACTGGGATGTTGAGCTCTTGCCAGGAGTCTGAACATTGAAGAGTGAGCACAGGCAAGCAAATATTCGAGATATTTAACCTCCTCCAAAGGTACCAAGGCTAAGCACCCAGGTGACTAACCACCTGCAGAAACACAAGCTCCAGATTTTGGGGGGTCATTTCTGTCAGCATGGAGCAGCCATCAGGAGATGTGGGAGATCCAACACCTTTGCCTCAGCCTTCAGTGCTCCTGAAGGGGCCTGCAGGGCAGAGCATCAGTGGCTTCAGGGCTGTTAATCACTGCTGTGGTTTTATATGAAGTCCAAGTGCAAAGGTGGGGCAGGGGGGACATTTAGCAGGGCTGCTTTGAGGGCAGAGAAATATGAGATTACAGTTAAGAGTGGAAGATTGGTATTATCAAATCAATATCCTACAATAAATATAATGTGTTGATCCAATTAGCTGAGTGGAGCAAGATGAATCTGGGGGCTATTGGTGAAACAGGAAAAATTGCAAGAGGCTAAAATTAAATGCACCCAAAAGAGAGGGGCAATGGAAATAATACTCTAAAACAATGAGCTTGGGTGACTGTGCAGTTTGAAAATTTAAGCTGAGTACAGAGGTCATCATGGAATTTTTGGAGCTTTTATTCCAGAGGCTGAACAGAGACAAGTTCTTCCACAAGTGAAAACACAACAATGCCAAAATTCTGCAGATGAAGCTTGTTAAACTGTTTGCTAAATACCTTTGAACTGTAACACATTGAAAAGAAAGAGAAGTATCACTGTAATGATGTAGCTGCTTGCAGAGCTCGTTAACTCGTCCCACAGCCCCCCGTCCTCAGTGAACTCAGCAGCCAGATTTAGCAGGAGCTGGGGAAATAACGGGGAGGAGGCAGGAGCTATGGAAATATCAGGGAGGAGGCAGCAGTCAGGCTAAGAAAAGAACTGGCAGCCGGGGAAGGCCAGGTATTTCAGACAGTTCCCAACACTTAAAGAACTCAGCTCTCAGTCTGTGGGTGTGTTTGCTCAGCATCTCGACTCAGTGGCCATTCCACACAACAGCAAAGCAATAATTCCAACTAAGCACACCAGGAAAACTTCTCTCCCTGAATGTTTAAGGAGCAGCTAATGAAGACTGAGTTATGCATGCATTTATTAAAATTCTCTCAGCACCGAGCAGTTCAGCTTTTAAGTTTCATGTGCAGCTTGAAAGCCAGGCAGAAGCCAAACCGTTTGGAAGAACAGCATCTCTTCAGAGGATTAGGAATTAAGTAAACTGCACATTAGAGATAAAATAGGGGAGTGCTTGTCTTTATTCTTAATAATAAACCACAAGGCATTGAGCTACACAGCATGATTAGCTCCTTTCAACTCCTCACTACTACTGCTGAGACAGCAATGTGGCAGTTTCACCGAAACATTAAAGAATACGGAGCGATTAAGTTAAAATTAAGTGAATTTAGGGCAGGCAGAAATGCTACATTGCAACCCAGAAGGGATAAGTCTTTTGTTTGGGTAAAGAGCAGCTTAAGCTCTAGTAGTGTTAGAATGGATTCCTGGAAAACAGGAGTTATTCATGGTTTGAAGCGACCAGCTCTGGGGCTGGACATGTTACTCTGCATCTCTCCTCTCCTTCCTGAGTCACCTGGGTCTCTAAAACATCAGCCCTGCAGTGGTGCCTGCCAGGCTGGGGAAAAGGATGAATTTGGGAAACCACAGCTGAGGGCTCATCCCCTCCTCCTTCAGCAGCTCCATACAGTCCTGAACTTCATGTTTCTGTGACTGGATTCCTCATTTATAAACTGCTCTTACAAACATGACAAAAATACAAAAGAACCCCAGACAACCGAAGAACAGTTAAGTCTGTGAGATACAGAGATACTAAACAACCAGGGGCCATTTGGACCATTAAACAATCAGCTCAACACATACAAGACATCAGCAAAACCCATGACTGACCAGACTCCTGGGAACGAAAACATTCTCCACAAGATGGACAGAGGTCTGTCTTCACTGTGGACCTGCAAGTATTCAACTCCTCTCTATGGTTTAGTGAGATACCAAATTTATCCTGCTGTACCCTGACCTTGTTTAGGATGACTGGAGTAAGAGATCAAACCTCCCAGCCCTGCTCCCTCCAAACTTCAGCTGTAGCCTATGAACCTGCACACTTTGTCCCTTACTGTCACCTTCCACCTGTGGGAGAAGCTCACCTGAAAGCTGTTGGTTTGAGTATCTACCAAATCCTACCCTAAAGTGCTTCTGCACTGCCTGAAAAAACTGGGCAATACATAAACCACTAAAAACACTTTGGCACCAAAGCCCATCCCGTTAAGGCAAAGCTGTTTCCTTGTCTTTGCACAGTCTTGGTTGGGCCATTCCTGGTTAGGGAGCCACCTTTTCTTGCCTTACAGAGCCTGGCACAGGTGACTCGGACCCAAAACTAAGCAAGTCTAAACAAGCAAACAGACATGCCTTAGCCCAGTGAGCAGCTGGAGCTCTGTGGTGGCCTTTAGGCACTGCCCAAACCAGGGCTGAGTGCCACGAGCACACATTCAGTGTGCCAGGATGGGCCCTGAGGTGGCTGCCACCACAAGGCAGAATTAGAGCTGCTGAAAATCTTCCAGGAAAACACTGGAAAAAGGCAATGGATCAAAATGAAAATGCCTCCTGCAATGGACTCTCTTCCAACAACAGGGGCCAGTTCCCCACAGACTCTCTTAGGCTGCAGGGATTTCACAACATCTCAGGCAGAGCAAACACATAAATCACCTGAAAGGGCTTTTGGTTTAACTCTACAGCACCAGCAGTGTTTGGAAACTTGTGTCTACCAAAGTTGGCAGAGCTTCCAGACTTGTGGATTCTGCTCCCCTCAGGGAAAATATGAGAAGGGAGCCTTTGGTCAGATTTCAAAGGAAAATATCTTCAGTCTTTGGGTTCCTCTGGACTGATATGTGTCAGCATTTTGAGAACCTGAAAGTCTGATTACTGCAAAGACCCAGTTATTGGCTTGGCTTGCTCTGGAATATGCCCTGGGATTCACAGAGAGCCTGAAGCTGCTTCCTGAAGCTGGCATGGTCCCAGGTCCCTGTCTGCCCTGTGGCAAACCACCCCAGGCCGTGGCTGTGCTGGGGCATTAGAAACCATTACTTCATCCTGGGTAAACATTTTAAAACGACACTTCCTGTTTTGTCTTTTAAAGTTATCAGGAGAGTTTCATTCTCCACCCAGAAGAATGACTTCTCTTGTTTACTGTTTTCATAGATCTACAGGATGGAGATATAATACAATGGATAATATACACAGAGAAGTTTGGAATATTAGGCTCATTTTGATCTTGGGTAAACTATGTAAACCTGAGAGTCTCTTACTGAGCTGCAGAGGCAACAAGAGCTCCACAACCCCAACCTGGTGGCTGTTTATCTTTACTAAACCAACCAAAATAGGTGATTTTGCCCCAACTCTTGCAGTAAGATCTCTAATAAATGTTTTCATACCTGTGAGAAATTCAGGAACTCCTGGGATTCCTCTGATGCTCAGCAGTGAGAGAGTTTATTACCTTCAGCAGGTCTTCAGTTACCTACAGGAAGAAAAGATCCACAAGCATCATTAGCCTTTCCAACACTTGCTGATTCAGAAATGCACAAAAAAACCCTTTTTATTTTGCAACTGAGTTTCCATTAATTTCCATTTAGACCTCCTGTTTATCTCCCAGTTAGACCATCCTCTGTCCCTTGCTCCAAAGCAGAAATATCCCCACACAAGATCCTCCCCCAGGCTAATGTTCAGGCGCTGGTTTTATACCCACCAGATATTTCAGAGGTGCTAACTCTGTATTTGCCTTCCAGATAATCCATCTGAACTTCCTGAAGTCAACCACCTGCCAGAAAAACACAAGATAATAGCAAACCAATCTTCCTTTATAGAGCCAAAACTCTAATCTGGTATTCTAGACAAAAGAAAATCCTACTATTTTACACTTAATCATCACATTTTGTCTTTTGTCCCCCACAATATATATATTTGTGAGGGTCTTTTGCTGTCTTGATGAGTTAAGTGAGAGATTTCACTGATGGGATGCATTTAAAAAGAAAATCAAAAGCAAGAATCACCAACAGGTGTGGTGTTGCAGAGCTGTCTTCTTATTTTTCAGCTGGATTCCCAGGTTCAGCAAAGTGCTGTGTTCACACATCAACATGCAGCAGGTATTTTGGAAGTCAAATTCAAGGACATTCAAATTCAAGGTTTAGCTTTTTGGTGACAGGCAAATTCAGTCCTGCACATTTGGGGAGAAACTTGTCAAAGGTACAGGCACAAAAACCAGGTCCAGTTTGATCCCACAGATTCCAGAATTTCGTAGAAACTCATGTAGATTATCAGTTAGTCAGAGATCCACCCACTCTATGCTAGATTTGCTGCAAACAGACTGTTCCCTGTTTCATCAAGCAGTCATGGTGCCATTCAGAGCAAAGTTTGCTCAGCCAAAGCTGTGGAGACAGGGAACAGGTTCATGGAGTTCAGAATTAGCAGTGATATAAAGCTATTGCAGTCATTACAGAACAATTCTTAAAATCCAATGCCCACATCGATTGTAGTCTCTCCAAATTCAAGCCAACCCAAAGATAAAACTAAATAATCTGCCAGAATAGACTTACTGCATTGCTAATGGGTATTAGAAAATGTAACTGCAGGAACAAAAAAGGAATAAAACAAAAAAACCACGATGAAACCGCTCTTATAGAATTCCTAATAACAAATATAAAAGTTCTTTACAAGAGACAAGGCAGGAGGGAAGGGCAGGGAGAAAAGCATCACTTATCACAGTGAAAAAACAAAGGCACAGATTCTTAATATTCATCTTAAGACTCCCCAGCAGGCTGGAACAGAAATCAAACCTGAAGCCTCAGTCCTTTGCTTTGAAATACAATTGTAAAACGTGCAGTTGTCTGAAGAAACATGCTACAGAACAACACACACTTAATTTACCTCCACACAAGTGGAGTGAGAGCAAATTTTATGTCTAATTCCACACAGTCTGGCTTCATGCTCACATTACCAGAGCTCAGGAGTCCCCCTGTCACACCAAACCTATACGATGCTGGTGTGAGCACAATTTCCCCTTCAAAATCCTCGAGATCCTCGTTCTCACACCCAAAGTGGAGGACACAGCCCATCCTGTGTGTCCAGCTGTCTGCTCCCACTGTCCTGCTGCCCACCCATCCCAGCCAGGCTGTGCTAGGACAGTGTCCAGGGAAAACAACTTTTCCCACCCTAACTTGTCTAATGAAACTCAACTTTGGCAAAGAAAAGAAACTACTAAAGGGTTTCTCTTGCTCCCCAGCATCCTGCCTTCTTTTCAAGTTCAAAGTGAGAAATTACACAGGCTGTTGGGGAAGAGGCAACAAGGTGAATATGGGTGGCAAAAATCTGAAAAGAGAGGAGTTGTTGGGCATTTCTTTCCCCTTTCTAAACAGGCCTTTATTTCCCTTTAATTCTTTCTTTTAACCGGGTTTATGTGGAGCTGCAGGTCACCACATTGACCTTCCCTGGCATTTCTGCTGCTGTTGCCAGTCTGTCCTCCCGAAGGCTGAGGGCACCAGGGACCACGTTCCGAGGAACTGGCGGAGAAAGCAAAGCGTTTGCTGCCTGTTTTTATGACAAGTAAATGAACACATGCGAACCCCAGTCTGTCGCACCTGCTCCTTTTCCCACTTCATTTTTCCATCACCTCAGGCGACACATGAACTTACAGACAGTATGGTTTTTTCCCCTCAGCCTTTACTTCTAACTTGCTGCGTTCCTCAAGATGTTTCTCAAGATGCCTTTATCAAAATAACTCCCGACCAGACTCTCCCCCCAGCCCCTCACAGCTCTAAAATAAGAAGCGGGAGCTGCTGAGATCTGTGCAGAGCTCGAGGCGCGGCCGCCCGAGGGGTGCCGGCTGCCGCCTCTCTGCAGCCCGGCACAAGAGCTGCGGGCAGGGAGGGTCCATTTGGGGATTAAAAACCCAAACAGCCCCCAAAAGTCGTATTTTTGGCTTTGTGAGAGCTGCTCGAGCCGCAGCCCGCCATCTCCCTCTAGCGCCTAAGCGCGCCGGCCCCGCCGCCATCTTGGCCGGGCTTTCCCTCTCCCACACTGCCCTCTGCAGCTCCATCCCGGACCGTGCCTCCCGCTGAGGAGAGAAAACATAAAAAACCCATAATAAATATAATATAAAAAGCCCTTCCTTATGTTAGAGAGGGGGTCCTTCCAGTCAGGATGATCAGAGAAGACCCACGGCGTTCCCCGAGACGCCAACACCTCGCAGACACGGCCACCTCAGCGCCAGCGCAGGGTTTCGTGCATCTTGACAAGAATCTCTCGGGTTTTTGCACTAAACCAACAAATTGAGGTGTCATCAGATTGCACTAAAGATGCTCAATCAGTTTGCACAAACAGGTCACCATCAGCCGTGTTTCTACCCCTTTCTGGTACAGGACATGTGCCTGTACCTGGCCTGGGCTGGCCGGCACAGGTGCAGACACACCTGCCCTCCCCGGCTGCATTTTGCTAAAATAGATTCTTCAAAGCAATAGATTAGTACATTCAGTGATGTATTTACTGCTGCAAAGCTCCAGATGCTCTGTAAGCCACAATAATACAGTTAAGTGGAAAATGAGTCATTTAAAACCATAATGACTATCATAGCATGACTCCGCTGACAACAAGCCCCGGCGGTAACGCTGCGAGGTGGATGAGACGCGATCGTCAGGGCTGTGGGGCACGTCAAGCTCTGCCTTCAGGGCAGGGCCTGCAGCCCCCCAGCCCTGGTGCTGCCAGGAGAGCACCCCTGATGTTGGGGTGGGGATGGCCGGGGTGCTGAGGTGCCCCTGTGAGCCCCCATCTCCTCAGCACCGCGCTCCACCTCACTGCCGGCATCATGGAAACGCTGTTGTGGCTCCCAGGTGAGAAGAGCTGGGCACCCGGATTTCAGCTGTGAGGAGGCAGAGCTCAGTTCTCCTCACCAGCATTCCCAGGTGCCCTGGGAGCAGGTGGCAAGCGGCTGCCACCCTTCCCAAAGGCTCCTGGTCAGACACCCCAGGCTGTGCCCATGGGGATGGATGCGTTTCCAGGTGCTTGCCATGGTTAGTCTGGGGACAGGCAATATGATGAGGGACATGAAGGCTCCTCCAGCCCCGCTGTGGTCCTCAGCCAGGCTAGACAGCAGTGGGACCATGTGGGGCCATGCCTTGCTGCTCCTCAGGCAGCCCCTTGGGTGAGTCAGGAGAGCGAGCGCAGCATCAGGGAAATCACAGGATCCCAGAATATGCCGAGCTAGGAAGGGACCCACACTGAGTCCAATCCTTAGCCCTGCACAGGCCCCTCTGTGCCCCAGAGGATCATCCAAACACTCCTTGAGCTCTGGCAGCCTTGGTGCTGTGCCCACTGCCCTGGGGAGCCCATTCCATGTTGGCTCTCTGCAAAGGCAAATAGGGTAGAAAAGGTAAAAGCAGGGCCAAGCTTTCTGCTGGTATTAAGCAGACATCTCTGGTGATGGCAAATAAACCATTTTAATTTGTCTTCTTGGGAAATTTGGCATCAGTTTTTTCCCCCCATCTCCAAAGGAAGAAATTCTCTTGCTTAGACCTTGGCTAATTGTTTCAAAAGCCAGGTAATGGAAAAATCAGATGGATGTGCTCACTAAAGGCAGAGAATTTAAGGAGCTCATAGAATGGAATCATAGTATATCCTGAGGGAAGGGACCCACAAGGATCACTGAGTCCAACACACACTAACTCACACTGTACATACAATTTGCTATAGAGAAGCATCTTTTATTCCCTTAACACAAGCAATGTGCTTTGTTGCTGGACTGTAGCACTGTGCAATTTAAGCCTAACTCTCCAAAATACAATTGCCTTTATCGAGCTGAATGCTCTGGGTATGGACCACTTCCAGTGCCTTGTATTAAATGTGATAAAGCAAGGTCACTCCTTAATCAACCTGACCAGTGCCTGTCACAGCACCACTGGGATTACTCTCATTTATGCGGGGGACCAGGAGAGCTCCTCACAGATCAGACTCTCATAAAAATAATTTACTGCTACATTCACCTTGCCCAAAACAGCAGAGCCATCCCGTCAGCCTGCACACATTTACGGCTCTCTTGAACTACCCTCTTGTGGTACAGCTGCAGAACGACATCTTCTTCTAACAGCTTAAAATACATCCAGTTCTGCTTCACTTTCTAGGGTTAACTGAGACAAAGCTTTCCTTTTGGAGTGCAATAACACCCTTTTCTTTATCAACGAGCTCCAAATGCATCACGTTTCCACCAAATACACCGAGCTCCCAAAAATAGGGACGATTGAAAATCCCAGGAAGTTTATAGTTCCATTTTTAGTTGTCTGTGAAAGAAAAGAAAACAAATTTCCAAGCTTTTAATGCAGTTCCTGCTGCATAAAGCACCCCCTGCCCCCTCAACAGTGATTCAACAGAAACTAGTTAAGGGCTTTGAAGATGCGAAGCAAAAGATACATTTCATAATCATATTGTATATTTGATAGGTAAAGGCTCTATGTAATGAGCTGATTAAGTTCTTGCTTAATTTTTTTCTTGTATTGAAACAAAGATAATTGTACCAGGGGTGGGTGGTTCAGTTCCTAGGGCTAAATGCAAGCTTTTTGAGCAGAGAAACATATAAATTCAACCAAGAAAAATGCTGCACTCGAAGTGAGTTTCAATGTTGAGCAATAATGATGATTAAACAAGCCACATTAAGTGCTAAAATACAGCATATCTGCCCTCAGTAATCAGAATGACCACAGGCCTTATCAGCTTGGGTCAATACTCTAGGTACTTGAATTATCAATAAACAAGTAAACCCATTCTTTCCTGGATAAATTTAACAAACCTAGGGTGCCAGAAGTTGTTAACATGGGTGAGGGTTTAAAGTGCTTTCTAAAAAAAGAAATTCCTCATCTCCTACCACCACTGACTCTGCAATTTACCTGATCCAGGCTCTTTTTTTTGTTCTCAAGTGGCCTGGACAGTAACCTCGTTGCCCTGGGTGACTCCTGGGCTGACTCAGGCACCTGGTATTCCACTGGTGACTCTGAGTTTTGTGTTCCCAGCAGCACTTTTCCCATGTATAAAACAGGGATTACCAGCCCAGTAGAAGAAACACCAAATGGCAGCACAAAGGACGTGGGAGACTGTAGGGTGGCACCGTGATTTCATCCCCTGCTCCTGGCTGGATTGAGCTTCATCCCTGATATTGTGCCTGACAGCATGTGAGCATTTTGACAGCTGTCAATACCTGTGCTTCCATATGCAGGCAGTGAAGGAATGAGAAGGGGGATATTCTTTATCACCAGGAAATACCTTTTGCTAACATGATTTCAGTCGCAAGATACCTGTGGAAAAGGAAAGGCGTGTGTCCCCAGCACATTGCCAGCTGGGAACTTCCACCTTGCCCACGGCCACAAGTAGTCCCAGCCCCTCCAGCTGGAGCAGGACACTAGGACAACAGTGTGCCCTCACCTGCGGCTCTGGTTCTCCTCAGCTGGCACAAATCTGGAGTCTTTTTGTAGAGGTTACCATGGCTAATTCACTGAGGCCTTCAGTTTTAATACTACTGAGGGAGTTTTTTGTATTACAGCAGCACTGGGCAATGCTCACTTGCCCCAGCCAGGGCAGCAAGCACAGTGCAATCACAGAGTGAGAGACAGACTGTCTCCCAAAGAGCTTCACCTAAAGAATGGCCAGGATTAGTACTTAAAATGGGAACAAGGAAGCTCTGACAGACTGTAAACCAGCAGGGGAGGAGGAAGCCCCAGCACTCCTTTGCACGCACTTCTCTCAACCAGCAAAGTTAGAGGTTTGTCTTCATCCAGAGTAAAGGCAGAGTCACCTTCAAAAGGCAATTCAGCCCATTTCAGTTGGGATCCTGCTCCAAATCACCTCCTGAAGGTAAGTACAGGTATGCTCAAAGCTGGCAGGTGGAGTCCAAAGAAAGAAATTGGTTTATCCAGGTGGGACTTAACCGAGTCACTGTGGGAGTAACAAAACCCCTGTGATCTGAGCCTTTGGCCACTGTTTGAACCACAGCTCACTCTTCTTCCTTGCCAGAACCAGAGCAGCAAGCCAAGGAGCTCCTCTGGAAAACAACATGACCACTAGTATGTTACCTTATTCCAGGGGCTTTCAGCAGGGTCACCTGCACGTGTGAAGCAGCAGTTAAGAGTTCAAAGCAGCAAGAATTGTGCTAAAGAATTACTTAACAAGGCACAGCCACAGCAAACGAAAATTTACTTTCAGTAAAGTCCTCCCCTATCTTCCAGTCCAGCAAGGACTACAGTTTTCATGAGCTCATACAGGCAAAGGTAAAAAGGAACAAAAATATAAGATGTCTGTGACTTTTGGGAAAATATTCTGCAGTGTCTATTGCTGCCTGTGATAGATTTAGCTGTCATAGGCCATGAGAGAGAAAAGGACTGCAAAGATTGCAGCAGTAAGGTCTGCATAGATGAAAACCAGGCTAGAGCAAGGTATTAGTAAGGAAAAACAAAGACAATGTAGAAAGTTAAAAAAGAAGGGTCAAAGTATGGCATAAAATGAACATTGTATTGGGAAACAAATGTTAGGAGTGCTTTCAAAGATTCCTCTCCTGTACACTATGGTTGGCATCTCAAGTGGTGATAGGAAGATGCTAAGTTAAGTGGAAAAATAGTTGGAGTGTGGGAAGGTGGGAGTTTAAAGCTTAAAGCAAAGTCCTGGGTGCTGTAAGCACAGTAGCTGAGGGCTTTCTAGGATCTAAATCTCACACAACCTACAGAATTAATACCCTTACCACTCATTTCATTCCCACAGATGGTACTTGGTGTGGTCTTTAAATGAACTTAATTTCTTAAAAACTAGTGAATTCAAAAATAGAAGATTTAAGACAAATGTCCTGAAGAGAAAACCCTGCAAAAAAGATCAAATTGTCTATACCTGCAAGTTAACATCCCTGTATCAAACTTCTGAAAAACAAGGAAGGCACCTGAAAAAGTTTAAAAGCATTAAAAAATCTGTTTTCATCTCTTTCTATACCTCTCAGGCCTATTCCTCTGAGCATCACCAGCAGTAGAAGACTTGACACACGGATCTTAAATTGGATTGAAATCAAAGGGAGTGAAAGCCTCAATGCTTCCTGGGACTCTGGGAGTGAGGGCTCATTGGCTTAATTGGGAATTAAGGACCAGCAGCAAGAGTTTGCTCAGCACCTGGGAGGACAAAGATCATAGCCTGGACAATGAAGAGCACGTTTCTTCCCCCTGAAGACACCGACAGAGCTGTCAGGGCTCTTCTGAGCCTGGAAGACGATGCTTTCATCAGAACCTCTCTCGTGGGGACCCTCACACTTGCTCCAGTAGTTCCATCCTTCTGTGGCCACCTAGAAGTGGTTTCAGTCAGAAACCCAGAAGGCTTTTAATGATGTGCCTCCAGAAGACTGAGATTATGGTCTAATTAAAATCTAATCCAAGCAGGGTGGTACTATATTTTAAAGAAGCCAAGGATGTGGTCTCCTTTTTGTTCCTTTTTCTCCGATTACTCTAATCATTTTAATAAGATGGCTTAGAAAAGCTTGCCGTTTCCTTTCCATTTTTAACAGCTATTCCTTCCGAACAAAACCCCACTGCTGGGAAAAAGGATTTCTTCCCCATGGCAACGCTGGGGTACTCCACACAAAGAAGCACCTAGCAGTTTAGTTCACATTTTTTAATAACATGGCACAATTTACATTACACAAGTCTTCGCTGATGAGGAAACATGCTGAAGATTGAGAGCCGCTTCACTTTGCTTTTCACATAGGATCTAGAAAGGACTTTATTACATACAGGATAAACAGCAAAAAGGTTTGTATATAACAATCTCTTTACAATACTGAAAGCTACCACTACGGTTCCAGTGTACATATTCCTCAGGGTCGGGATTTTTTTTGGATTTTTCCTTTTGTTCTTAAAAAAAAAAAAAAAAAAAAAAAAAAAAAAAAAAAGAGAAAAAAAAAAGAAAAGAAACCACCGCACAACATCTGGAGTTCACAAAATCTGAAGCTCACAACTAAACCTTCAGTTGACTACTAAAATAGATCTCTGATCATTAGAAACAACTGTCTGTAGTTAACTTTTTTCTTTTTTTTTTTCTTTTTTTTTTGCCAAAACAGGGTAACAACTTCAGATAGCACTTTAATACACTAGAAGACCAATGGAACTAATTTTATTTCATACATATATTTTACAGTCCAGTAGACAAGATATTGAATTCTCTCTGATAAAGTCATATTCTCTCCAAATATTTAGACAAGAAACTTAATGCATTATAAAAAAGTGTGCTATGAAAAGACAAGATTTCAGAAGATTGATGCATATTTGTAAAAAGGACCATGTTCTTCATGTTATTTCATGGCTTCTGTGATTAGGGAACAACAAGGCTGGCCTGTTAACTCTTCACAGACTTTATTACCAACTGAAATACAATAAATTGCATTATGAAATCTGCAATGGAGTTCATTAATTAAACACTGATCCACAGTGAAAACATATCCATCATTTAGAAAAGTATTCTTGTAGGATTTGTTTCAAGGTAGCTAAAAATCCCATAAGACAAAAAAAAAAAAAAAAAAGCGTGTGTACAGATAAAAATGACAGACTGGCAATAAAACCAGACATGAATGGCTATAAGCAGATGCTCTTCCAGAAAGAAATTTGACATGTTCAGTGACAAAAGTTCTGGAAAAGATCCAGCATTTGATTATTCCTGTTTAACCCAGATGAATGTGACTGAAAACCAACTGGCCATGACTTCAGTACCGGTGCTTGCAGAGCACTGACCCTGACGCCGTGGAAGCGACACACGAGCTCCAGTGACCTCAGCAGCCTCATGCAGGGCTTCAGACAGAAAACTGCACCTCTAGTGGGCTGTTTCTTCATCAAAACAAGCAAGAGAAATAGGCTCCTATTAGAAATGAGCTTGTTCAGGGAAAATATGACTTTAATTATGTTGTGTGTTGAAAAGGCTCCTTTGAGTTATAAAGGCTTTTGTGAAAAGCCTTAAATTCATTGCATAGTTGAAGGGGTTTAGCTGTCTATAACAATATATGTAACACAGCATAAGCAGACTGTGTTGATCAATATTAAGTTTGCAAATAGCACAGTTTAAGAAGTATTAATGTATTATGTTACTTAATTTTATCTATTTACATTTGTACAAAGTAAAGCTTTCATCTTACCCTTTTTGCATATATGAACCATTAACCCATGAAGCAATCTTTTTACATAAATATCTACAATTGACTTCATTTCTGGTCTGAAAGAGCTTTGTAGGGTTGACATTGGTGGTGGCTTGTTTCTAGTCAAATCACTCAGATTGATGTCTTGTTCTTCAGTTCAAATATTGAAATTCTTAAACTAGAAATAAAATAGAGTAGGAGACACGAGAAACGTATGGACTTGGCTAAAAGATCTGGAAAATTTCAACATATAATATACAAAAAAAACCATTTCAAAATCTTTGCACTCGGGTCTATACATATTGTACAGTGGGTCACATCCCCAGTCTGTAGCAATGACTAGTAAGAAGGTCTTTATATTATGTTCATGTACAACGTTTTTGTCCTTCTTTCTGTGGTTTTTATTCAGTCTCACTCTGCTTATCGAGCTTCAATGTCCTTGAGGGTGTGAGAGGGGGGCCTCTCCCTCATCTCCGTGGACAGAGGAGTAGTCCTTCTGGGAGACCCGGGCCGAGGTCCCAGCGTGGAAATAAGAGGCGGGGGGGCACTGAGAGCTGCTGTGGGGGGAGTTTTGTTGAGGATGCCGTTCTGGTGTGCCGTGGGGGGGCTGACTCGGGGGTAGTGCATGCTGGGGAGTCCCGGGGTGATGAGGCTGGGGTGGGGCAGGTGCCCGTCCAGGGCGGCCGGGTGCACCGAGTGCAGGCGCGCGTGCTCGTAGTCCTCCCGCAGCATGTGCAGCCGCTCCCGCTCGTCCAGGTGGGTGCCCCGCTCGTGCTCACGCCGAGGGTCGACAGACAGAGGGTGGTGGTGATGGTGGTGGTGGTTGTAGTCGTGAGGCTCCCGATCCCTGAAAGACCTGTCTGCTTCGTACAGTCTTGGCGTGGAAAGACGGTGAAGGGGGTCATTCCTTAGCAAAAAGTCTCTGCCCAGGGGGTCTCTCCGATGAATATCCAGCTCTCTGTACGGATCTCTCAAGGGATCCCTCATCGGGTCCCAGTGGAAAGAAGGATAGGGGAAACGTTCTCCACCAGGAATTGGGCTAATTCCCATAAAAGGTGTCATCATGCGAGTCCTATCCAGGCCACTGATGCTGTTCATGTGATGTATTCCAGTTACACCTACAGTCATGGGCATAGACACTAGAGGACTTGGATGGACGTTGGATGTAGATATAGGTGGTGGCTGATCAGATGACCGATGAGTCTGAGGTCCCTCAGGTTGAACATCATGGTCTTCCTTTCGCTCTTCCTTCACTTTGACTTCGTTGCTTTTCTTGGGATTCTCGTACGCCGGCTCGTTCTTCCTCTCGGCCTCGCGGTTTGAGGTGCTGTTGGGCCTGGTGCTCTCCACAACGGGGGGCCTGGCATAGGGGGAAGGAACCCTGGGCATCTGCTTAGACTCTTCCACCACTCGGCTTTCATGGCTCAGGCCTTCTTTCTCCGAAATATAGTTGTCCTTCACCTTGTGCTCTTCAACATTAATTTCCTTCCGGGATTCGGAGTGATCCCTCTCTCGTTCTTTGGGTTTCTCTTTCTCTCGGACCTCGGGGTTCAGATGGCTCCTGATCTGCTCGTTTGAGCTGCGGTTATGTCCGAGGGAATTTACTGGATGGATTGGTGCTGGCGAAGGATGGCTGGAGTGTCTTTTCTCAATGCTCTCCCTACAAGAAAGAGAAGTGTGAAAATGAAGGCATGAGAAGCTCTGCAGATAAAACAAAGCATCAGGTGTCTGGCTCTCTGCTCGTGGCTTTGCAGAGAGTTGGTAACATGCACCATTAATGCACTGTGCCTTTGGCACACCCAAAACACCAGAAGAACATCCCATCTCTAAACTTGGCCTGTTCTATTATCTCATCCCAGGAGAAGAAGATCCCAAGGCTGCTTTATGAATAATCTGATTGAGATCTCAAAGACTGAAGTCCACAGAAGGCTCCCATGGAAATCCAGGTCTAGGACACACATTTCTAAAACAACGGCCTTAAATGTTTGCAAAGAGAGAGAAAAGTAAAAACATACTAATTTCATCCAAAAAAGTGAGATAATTAAATCCAAATTATGTGTTAGTAGTATTTTACCTGCTTCTTCTATTAGGAATACATTTGGGAAAACACATGACTTTCAACTGACTTTTAAAAACACTTCTAGACCTATACATGTTTACTCATTTTTCTCCTCTCTTCCCTACAAATGTGTAGCTTTTCAATTTATTTCTGACAATTCAATTTATTTCTTCAAACTGAAAACAAAAGCCTCTCAAGAAACCAGTACTGCTGGTGACAACCCACCTCTCTGAACAGGTGGAGACTTCTCTAAGTGTGCAGTGGCCTCAGTGCAAGTGTTTTAACAGAGCTGGCACAGATTGTGTGACCACTTCCTCAGCAGGCAGGGACAGGGCCAATGCTAGGAAGTCTCAAAATACTGTGGATTCATCACTCTTTCAAACCTATTTATGGTGTCCAAAAGATTAGAGAATTATTGCCTGGCAATGGACAAAAACCTAAATATGGGAATGGGTTCCGTACCAATTATTTTCAGGAAGCAGTGTTGACCAGGAGTTGTTATGGGCAACACTAAGTGAAAAAGCTTTTCTATTTATAACTAATAAAATTCATAAGGTCAATCTAATCCCTCAGTTCCAGGGATTTTAACCTCCTACTAATTTCAGCTGATCTCTAAGTTTGAGTCTCTCCATGAAGACAGCTCCAGATGCTCAGTGTTGGACACGTGCTGTTTGCTGAGCATGGAAATTCTGTTCCATGTGAGAAGGACAATGAGCTGTTAGAGGCAAAAAGTATTATGGCCATAAACTAAACCACAAGAAGTTCCACCTCAACATGAGAGAGACCTTCTCTCCATTGAGGGTGGCAGAGCACTGGAACAGCTGCCCAGGGAGGTCTCTCAGGAGACAAAACCCACCGGGATGTGTTCCTGTGTCACCTGCTCCAGATGTCCCTGCTAAGGGGGTTGGACTGGATGATCTCTAGAGGTCCCTCCCAACCCTAATGATTCTGTGACTCTGGGAAAAGTGAGGGGTAAGCAGTGAGGCCCCTCAAGTCCCCACCAGCTCCAGTTTCCATGGTTGCTCTTTGGGTGCTGCTGAAGGAGGTGTGCCCTGAACAGGCTGGGCTGAGGACACAGGGTGACATCACTCTGGACAAGATCAGCAGTACTGGCTGCCTGAAGGGCAGCTCAGAAGGAGAAGTGGACACTTGCTCCTTCACCTACACAATTTCTGCTGCCTACTTTTCTTGCTGAGCTGAACTGCCCAAGATTTCCATCTCTAAGTACTTCTGGATGGTGAAACTGCAGCAACTGCAGAAAACCTGTCTTTGAGGAGGAAACTCTCAGTATTATAATCTCACCAGAGGCATTTTTTCCTGTGTCTGGGCTGAATTGTTGGGACTGTCATTTTATGGGCCATGTCTGAGAGACCTCCAAGAGTCCAGAATGTGACTGTTAGAAAACATTTGGAAGAGGGAGCATTTGGTACCAGAACTGCCAAGTCTGCACTGTCCAACAAATAACTCCTTGGTATCAGGTTCTGCCTTGACTAACTGTGACCTAAACAGTCTGGAAATCCCATCCTGGCCTAATTTCCACCGAGAGTTGAGGTGTTTGATTTAACAGCTGCCAGATCTGGACACATGGAGACCAAGTCAAGGCACTCCAATGAAGGATTCTCAAGTTGATGACTCAATTCTTTTACTTTGCTGGGAAAGCACTGGCTTGTGGGCTCTGCAATACCTAAACTTTATTTATTTTGCTCACAGGACTAGTTCAGAGGGCACCCTTAATTGTTTTATTTCACTAGGAAAGCCCATTGAGTCCTTTCACTGATATTTAATCAATTTTCCATGTAATTGATGTATTTTAAATGACACATAAAATTTAGAGAAAATAACAGGCGTTTTCTGTAATTAAAGAAAAATATATGTGCAACCAAAATAACATATTCCTTTGCCAGTTGCATCCTACTTAATGATAGTGTTGTATCATCTCAAGAGCCTAATGATTAGACAGCTCATTTAAGTGAACTCCAAGTAATCCAGTGGTCAGAGAAGGAATTTTTTATCCTCAGATACATCAAGGGCTCCTTAGGTTAAAAATATGGGAACAACTCTAAGCCACTGCCTCCACAAAGAAGAAACTTAAAATGGTGTTCTCCAATGAACTGATTAGTACATAAAAGAAGTTCTGAGGCTGCACTGAAAAACACTGAATTTCTTATGCTGAGGACTTTGCCTTATTTTATGTTGATAAAAAGATCAAGAGATTCTTGGTTGGTTTTTTTTTTAATGCTCTAGGTTTACATACACTTAAGTGACATTATTAGATTGGAAGTGCTCAGTGACATCTTTTAAAATACCACTGAGAAGGAACAAATCCTTTTTTTCACATTAGCTATTTTTATTGATTGTTTTTTTTTTTTTTCCTAATGCTGGGCTGGCATAAGAGTCCTTAAAACAAACAAACAGAAAACCCCTCCACAACTGCAGACAATCAGAGAATATCCCGAGCTGGAAGGGACCCACAATAACTCCTGACACTGATCTCAGTGGGGCAGAGCCAGGCCCAGAGATACCTTCCCACTGAAGGCAGAAGGAATTGAGATCAATGCTTTTGGCTTCATGGCCCATTTCAGGGCTGATAAAGTTAGACCCTTGACAGGATGATTTTGAGATTAAATCATCCCCCTGGGTGTGATTCCCAGTTCTTTCTGTTTGGGCTTAAAAGAGGTACCAAAGACCGGGACCTCAGCTCGACAGCAGAGCTCCATCCCCCCCTGCAGGTGCCACTGAACGTTACAGGGGTAGGAGAGGCTCACAAACTCTCCAGACTTTTTCTACACAGGGAACACGACTCCAGGAAGGGATTCTCAGCATCGTCTCAAACAGGCAAAGGTGGAAACATGGTGCAAAGTCCAACTCTCCAACCCCCCCAGCAAGGCAGCACTAGATGGGCAAAAACATCATTGCACTGGACTGGAAGCCAGAGTTGTGCACAGGTATGAGGTATGAATGATGCTTGCTGGGAAGCTCTCAAACTATTGCAAAGAAACATGTTCTGGGCTATGATATGGAGTTCAGCAATGTCAAAGCAGCTCACAAGGAATGTGTTTTGGAAAGGGATTTTCTTCAGCAGGAACACTTCATAAGAAAACAACAAAACAGCAACCAAAATAATCACATAACTCTACAGGTTACCCAAATCACTAAAATGCTTTGCCATTCAAGCCAGTAAAGTTACTCACATGCTTAAGCATTTTGCAGGGCAGAATCCCCAATTTGTAACAGCAATTTCTTTTGAAGCATTAACACCAGACATGAAAATAATGAAGCTATGCTACCAAACAGAAAATATTCCAAATGGAAAATGTAGGTGAAAAGATCTGTAGTTTGTCTTGCTTTTACAACAACACAGAAAAGCTCTTACATGTATTTTTAGAATATCTAATGTGTTAGCATAACTTCTTTTAGAAAAGGCTACTAATGCTTATATTTGGGTTAGTGACAGAGAAGTCAGAAAAGCACATCTCCTAAATACTCTTTAATGTTAAAAAATTAGAAACAAATAGCCATTATGTATTAAAGTAATGTGCAAACTTAACAGGAAAGCCATCAAGCCACAACTGAAAAAAGCTGAAATCAGCCTCTCTACATTTTTCAAGGAAGGCATGACACTTGCTGAATGGCAAATTCTTATAATTTGGTACTTCATTGTTAAGAGGAATTAACTGTATAATGGGAACAGTCCTGACAAAAAATATATGACCAGGTTTTACTTTCCATTAACCCTTCCCAGCCTGGACATGTTAGTGTGCAAGTCCATGTCAAACGCTGAAGAGAAACTGTGCTTGAAGGTGTGTAAAGGCAGTGCAGGTGGGGGGCCTTTTGAGGGGATTAAGGTGCATTTCATGAAGTGCATGCTCTGACCCTTCCTGTGGCATTGGCACATGACATCCCCTGTGCCCTTCAGTGTTAGCATCTCACACCTTTCTCACTGGTCCCTCTGCTCAGGCCGCTTGGGAAGAGGGAGGGAGCGTTACTTGTTTTGCAGACAAAGTCCAATTGACAAAGTTATTGAAGCATTTGAAGGTGCAGATACGTGTCTGATGGACTTCAGAATCCTTTTTTTCCATCCTGTCAGGCACTATCTACACATTAAATCTTCAAGAGGCCTATGACAACGTGACCCACAAGGTGACAGACAGGGTGTGTGGGTCTGGTTCTATTCCCACTTGCCACTGCCTGAACTCTGCTCCAGCAGGGCTCCTCTGGATGAAGTGCAGGGCAGGTGGGAAGAGAAACAGAGGACGTAGGAAACACCTGAGTTAGAAACTTCTTCCACGCTGTCACAGGCAGCTCCAGCTGTGCCTCTAGTGCAGCTCTGGGTTCCCAATGTGCCAGGCTGGGAAGGGTTAAAAGCGGAACGGAGCCCCAAGCTTCGAACTAGACAATTCTTGGAAGTTTTCTTTCGTACCTTTCTTTGTCATCTTTACTAACAGATGAGTCTCGTTTATCTACATCTCTATCTCTGTCATGAGCTGCAGCAGATGAACTGCGCTCCAGCTCTCCTGGCTTCAGCCAGGGCGGAGGGGTCGGGAACGAAGGAGGAGTTCGGTGCAGTCGGTTCCAGGGCTCGTGAGGGTTGCTAAAGCTCTGCATACTGGGGCCATCCTTGTGGCCGAACACTGAGTTGGGTGCTGAAATGGTGAAGTGGAAAACAAAAAGGTTTAAGAAAAAGGTATGCTCTAGTGAAGGTACTTACCAAAACAACTTTTACAGCACTCAGAGTTAAAATGAATACATATTATTGGGAGCTGGAAAAGGAAAGGAGATTAACAGAGATTCATTAGAGGGTCTCGTTCCTAAAAAATGGGCAGGCATCTGACAGCTCTTTTAATTGGAAAGGGGAATGCTGTGGATAAAATTGAGTGGGGATGAAGGAGGAAGATAAAAGTGGCAATGATCATTATTCCACATATTTTGGAGACATCAGGAAATGACCATTATACAGACTATAAATAATGGAACTTGTTGCATTTGATCCTGAACCAAAACAAAATAATATGTGACCAAAACCATGCCAGATCTGAAGGATGGAGAAAGAGAGTGATTTTTACAAGGATGATCTTTTGTGACTGCCCAAATCTAGAGAAATGTTGATGATCCTGGACTAATAAATGCAGGTCGGTGATCTTTTCCAGGCACATGGCCTGGATTACTGGTGAGAAAGGGAAAAAATAAAATCTTTCCATCCCCAGCTGGGGATGCTGCACACATTAACTGCTTCTGAACATGCAACAAACCCCTGGGAAATTTCACAACCACTCACAGGTTCTCTATTTTTAAATTTTTTTTTAAATAAACAATGTAATGGTGACATTTAGCACTCCGTCGAACCCAAACCATTAAGTAATTAACGGAAAATTATTTACTGATGAGTGAAAAAGGTCGCTTTGCAAATTCCCACCTCTTAGTGGTAAGTGGTCTAATCAACTGGTAAAACAGACAGCAAACAGCCCCCATCACTCCATGTTCTCCTGAGTTTCACAGCAAAAGAGGATTCAAAGGCAAAGGTACTCACTGACTGTGGGGTTCCCGAGCCCCCCGAAGGCGTTGCTGCCCACGGCGGTGAGGCCGCTGAAGGACGCCGGGCGGTTGAAGGGCTCTGCAAACCAACACAAACAGCTCAGGCTCCCTGCACGTTGGGAATTCTGCAAAGCATTCCTGTGTCATCCTACTGCACCCCAGTGCTGTGCCCAGCACTGGTGGAACATGGTCCTCCCACGGCACAGCACTGATTGTGAGGGGCTGGCACAGAAACGACGGGGGTTTGTTCCTGTGGTCCTGTCCCCTACTACAAAACCCTCCTCTCCAAAGAAAACCAAGAGGTTAAAATATACACAATACTGCATTTAAAACCTGCAAACATCTCCATTTTTACTTCCTTTTATTCCCTTCCAGTTCAATTCCATGGTTTTCTTCAGGAAACCTCCCTGGCTAGTAAGACTGTTATTAACTCTGGCAACTGTGCTCCAAACACCCTCAGGCCATGTCTCCTAAACCAGAGCCAGGATATAAATAAAATGTCCCATTACACTGATGTGTTCTGCTGACCTGACAACTGTGGAATTCTCCTGGTATTTATTGCTAATAGTATATGAAAAACTAGTGTGGACTGAAAAATGCAGGAACAATTCTTTTAGTAGTTAACGCACACAGGCTACAGGAAAGTCATATAAGCAAATTCTCACTTTATTTTGGAGTAGTCTGACAATTTTGATGAAGCCACTTCTGATAAATAACAGCACAGAGAAAAGGAAGCCCAAACCCTTTTCTATAGGCAGCAGAGTGCAGAATGATAAACCTGCATTGTGTGTCTGCTTTGTCAATTTGTGACCCTCCCAAATTCTTCCCTATGCAAAATAAAATGCCAATTTAGTGTCGATCTCAGATGTTCCCATAAGGAGCAGAGAACCTTATTAAACAGCAGGGAGTTAGAAGGGAAATAACAACACCTGGTAACTTGGGTGGTTCTGGTTTTAAATGTGTATTAACCAAGTCTGACTAACAGACACACCTGAGGCCAGATCACAAGATTTTAAGGATATATTTCCCGCTCACTTTAATGGAAAACCGGACATCTAAGTAGGAGACAGGAAAAGAAACACCTCTATGATCCAAAGCCTTGACCCTAAGGCATTTTTTTTGGCTGGTTATAACATAAATCCAGTGAAACCCAAGCAGCCCTGTCACTCTGCATCTCTAAGGTCCAGATGCTTTCAGAAGTATTTCAAAACATGCTGTCAGCGACACTAGGAGGTGTATTTTGAACTGCTACCTGGGTAAAGGCTAAAATTAAACGGCTAAAATGTGCAATTTGTAAAGGCTGAGCAGGATACTCCACACAGGGAATCTGGAGTGGTCTCAGTGGCCAATGTCTGAGTCGAATTCACCAGTAGTTACAGAGAGAACCTACCTAAGTGAGCAGCTGGGTTGAGGAAGTTGCTGTGGTGAGGTGGTGGGCCAAAAGGGGTGCCAGCTGGATGCCCCCCACCTGCCAAAACAAAGCAAAAGGGGTGAATTCCCAGCAAAAGCTCAGAAAGGGACTTGCTGTGCTCTGGGCTTGACCTTTATTTCTTAATTCTCTCAGGTGAGCCCAGAGTGCTGTGATTGTGGGGGCTCTCAGTCAGGATCTCATGCAGACAGCAGCTGCTTTTCCAAACACAAATTCCCAGTTAAAGGGGTGGGAGGGAATGAATGTTTCAGTAAAGAAAAAAAAAAAAAGAAAACACACGTGAAATACAGTTTATTTCCAGCATCTCATCTCCAGGATGCACTGGACACCACTCTGGGAAGAAATGTTTCTCCATTTACTACCTGTAAATACCCCTGACATTTCAGCAGGTTGGGCCTTTGTTTTAAAAGCATGCAGAATAATTCTGAAATATTTATCAATGGACGAGAATAATTTTAAAATATTTATCAAATAGACTAATAGCCCCTGGCATGTCTTGCAGAGAGTTCATAAGCCAAAGCATATGGGAAATTCCTGGCAAGGATTAGCATTTTAATGAGCACGGAGCAAGGAGGGGATTTCACTGCTCAGGACTCACTGGCTGTGGAGAAGAGAGTCGAGGGCCGGGCCAGGTCATGGGGGTGGTGGATGGCTCCAAAAAGGCTGGGGCCTGGTGGCCTGCTCAGAAATTCTGGTTTCAGGCCGAAGTCCAGCTTGTGTGGATCCGACTGCATCTGTTTCTGAAAGGGAAAGACAGCATTTGCAAGAGACTGTCGGAAAACATAACAGCAAAAGGCACTTTCTGAATGATGTGGGTGTAGCAGTTCATTCATACTGATGTTTTAACAGGAACATCAGTTTTTGGGACCCCCAGCATGGGTGCACAGCTGTTTTCCTGGAAGGCAGTCTAAGGCAAAGAGGGAAAAGCTCCTGCATACTTCCTGCAAAGTTCACCCGGGTTTTCACATCTGCTCACATCCACCCTCCAGGGTGCTCAGCACAGACCTGCCTTCAACAGGAAACACAAAACTCTCTGAGGAGGCCTCAGACACTTGCTGAGCTGAAAGAATAGGTCAGTCATAAAAATAAATCAAGATGTTAGTTTGGCCCTGACCCCGGGTGGGCAGGAGTGTTAAAAGCTGGGTGACAGCCCGAGCTGTGCCAGGCAGAGCTGCCCCTCTGCCCAGGGGTCACACAGGGATGGCACAGGCCAGCCAAGGGACACCACAGCCTTTAATTTAACTGTGAAGCTGCCACCAAGAAATGCAGTGTATCCCTCAGTGCCCCTCAGGCTGCAATTAGGGGATAAAATGACCCAGGTGACACATGAAGAGCGTTTGATCTAAGGAACTGCAGCCCCCTTTTGGCTGCTCACACTCCAATTCCAAATGCTGCAAGTCCCTGTCTTTATTTCCTTGTATGAGAATCAGCAGCCTCCATTCTGAGAGGAGAATTTGCTGAGGCAGATGGATTGTGAAGGATAAGTGGGTGAAGGATGGGCTCTTCTTTGTGCCACATCCTCATTTCAGTGGTGCCAGCTCCAGTAGTTTTATGGAAGGAAGGAAGAGAAAAACTAAATTCCCAATGCCCTGTGCTGCCAGAACTCCCTAAACACAGGTTGCTGATTAATTGTACAGGTCAGCTGAAAGGATTTACAAATGGGTAACACTGAACCAGGAGATCTTAACAGTAATTCTGGAACAAGCTATGCTTTATAAATCAGTATTTAATACTGTGCCAGCCCGGAGTATAGACTATTACAATGATATAAATATGCATATTAAAAAGTTATGGTCAAGTTGATGTGCATGCCTAGGAGCTGTTTTTCAAGTGCTACTAATGTATCTATGTAGTTATGAGAACAAAAAAAAAAAGAAAGAAGAAAGAGAAACAAAGGCATTATCTATGTTTGGAGATAAGGGCCTGCAAGGACACTGAAATGGCAAAGATGGCCAAATTAAGGTCATTTCTTTTAAGAAAGTACCACTGAAGTGCTTTAATAGTTAAAAGAAGTTCAGCAAATGCCTCAGCTGAAGCCTGCGTGCCAGATTTTTATGCTGTGAACTCGTTTTATTCTTCTTTTTAACAACCAAGTTATAAACCCCTGACAGGCATTACTCAGAATAGCAAAAGCTTTAATTGCAGCCATATGAACAGTGCTGTTCTAAATAATGAACAAATCCCTGTCTGAACAGGAACAGGAGTATCATGGATGTGTTAAAAGATTTTTGAACGTGTTGGGTTACCTTAAAATAGCACCAGAAAAAAGAGTCAGGTTTCTTTTATCCCCAGCTGCCGTTCAGGAGAGCACCCCCCTGGCTGCCAGTCCTTACAATGCATTTCAAGGCCAGAAAACGTGTAACACCTTCACTTGGTGCCCACTAAAGTCAATGTAATTGTCTGCTCTGATGTGAGCTCGGGCCATAAGGCCTTTCCTAGAAGAGAGAGGGCCAATTATGGAGCACAAATCCTCTCCTGAGCAGTGGTCAGTCTGAGGAGCAGTGTAAATGTGCCCTGTGCAGCCCTGGCTTTGCCTGTGGAACTCCCCGGGCGTGCACAAAGGTTACTCAGGTCTTGCTGCAGAGGCAAAGGCAGGCAAACAGCATCCACAGCTGCATGCAATTTTTCCTGAGGTCAGGAAGGTTGTGTTTTAAAGTTTCCCATCTTGCCTGCTCCTCCAGTGCCTGCTGCTGCCCTCTGCAAGCAATTACTGGGCCAGGTAGTTAGCGAGCCTTCCACACTTCTCAGCAGTCTGGTGGCACTGCAGCCAACAGGAAATCTCTGAGCAGGTCTGGTTTATTCCCTGCTCTGTGGTCAGGCAGCACCTTCAGCTTGGGCAGGACAAAAGGCATCTTCACAACCATGGGTTAGAAGGAGAAATTGTCCTCTGTGAGCCTTCAGCCAGAGATTCCCCCCTCGTGGTCACACAGAGGGAGGACGTGGCTCCCCTGTCCTCCAGGAACACAAACCAACCTCCCTCACTTATTCTAGACCAGACCTCATTTTTTTGACTGAACTGAGATAGTGAAAGACATTTCTCAATTATTCTTGAAATGTTCATCATGCACAGCCTCAAAAAGCCAAGTAACATCCTGTCCTATGCTTCTGGGCTTTATTCCTGGGTTTTTTTAACATGCAAGGTAGAAAAGGATTAGGCAAAAGAAATGGCTGCATGAAAATGGCATTTACTATGAGTTATAAATACAGTGGTATGACCTCTCTCTGAATATCAAATCAAGGAAGATTCAAAGGACATAGACAGCATGGGAATAATAATTTCATTTCAAGAAAATACCTTTTCAATAAAATAGAAAAAAAGGACATATAACTCTCTAGGTCTATAATCTTGTCTTTTTTGATAATGGGAAGATGAATGAAGATCACTAGCAGGGGAAACATAAGGAAGCAAAGAAGAGAGATATGTCTACTGCAGCAAATTAACCTGTCAACCTTGTTTAAAAGGGTTATTTTTAAACTCTATTAGCTGCAGGTTTTTGTAGCTGTTCAACATCTTCATATTCTTGTAGCAATACCTTATACACCTCAATTGCACACACAGACTGCAAAGTGCTGTGAGTTCCCTGGTAATTTTAGTTTCTAACACAAGTTATTGACTCCTGAAGCACGAGCAGTGAAGAACAACCTTTCCTTACTTAGTGAAAAACTTCAGGAGCAACACAGGATTTTTCTGTGACAAGGAGAGTGAAAATACTATAAAGGGAAAGAAACTTCACAGAGTCCACATGCAATGAAAATACAGTTGCAGTAGGAATAGAAACACCCTCACTTATCACATGAATACATTGCTTTTCTCTGACTTTTGTTTCAGGAGAGCCCAAACTGCCTATGGACCTTACCCCTGAAATCTCAAAGCTTCAAAAATAACTAAGGAAATACTTCCTTCCCTTAAGTTTCAGTGCAATGAGAGAGTGTCTGATAACACATCACCTGAGGGGCTGTGTCTGCCTGAGCAGCCTGGACTCATCCAGGTCCAACCTCCAGCCAGGAGATGGGCTGTGAAGGAAGAGTGATGGGAGCTGTGCAGCCACACTGGGTAAAGCATCCCAGGGACAGGAGAAATCTCCCTGTGCCCCCTGCTGACCAGGAACAGGACTAAGAGGAACGGGATACACATACTTTGCTTCTCCAGACTTAAAAAAAATCCCATCTCACATTTGTGTCCTCAGCCACAAATAAAAGCACTGTTGCAGCTCCCAGGCACACCCATCTATCTCACCCTTCCCAGCTACAAACTGGTGGTTTTTGCCCCAGACCTGGTGTCCTGGCTCCGGAGCATCCCAGACATTTCACTGGGATTGTACTTCAGGTTTTCATTCTGATACACCAGCTCTCTGAATGGGAGGGTTGTGCTATAATGCTGTGCATGGTGGATTTAACAAAGCATGGGCCATGGCACAGAACTGCTCAAGTGAGAGGCAAACTCTTCCTCTCACAGGTTTGCTCTGTGCCCTTCATCCAAAATTCAGGTGTGCCCCACCACTGACCTTGACTTTCTGTTGGTGGTGGTAGATCTGCCAGGCGATGTGGACGTGCATGGCACACCACTTCCCAGGTTTCTGGAAAAACAAAACACATGCATCAGTAACTTCCAAAAAACTGTGGTGCTTTATCCTAGTTCTAGAACCATTACCAACCCTTAGCCTAGCCCAGTTTGGTCCAGGGGATCCCCCCACAAAGGGCTCCCTTCAATCCTCTTGGGAACCTAGAAATGAAAAACCTTTGTCCCTTGCTAAGAAGTTTTTCTTGGATATCCAGGAATGCTCCTGTTTTACACACTCCTGTAATCCTCTGATGCCACTGGCTGAGAATGCAGCTTGTGCTGCTGAGATCAGTGAAGCTCTGTCCCAGCCAGCAGCTGCTGCACAGCTGGATTGCTCACAACTGCACACTGAAGTCATTCCCACAAGTGCAGCTATGCCAGGACTGGCATTTCCACAGAAGGATGAAAATTAAAGCAGCTTAAAAGGTCTCTCTGGTTTTCAAAGTAAATCTGACTCCCTCATATAATTACTGGTCTGCACCTCCAAGACTTGAGCACATAAATGTACTGAAAACACTGGAGGTCAGTCATTCACTCTGTTTGGGAGGGTCTTTGCATCCTTCCTGTCACCACGACTTTGAGTCCCGGGGAGGAGAGAGGGAGGGAAGAACCAGAGCGTTTGTTATGTTTCCTTGTTGATTTTGAACTCCATTTCCAGCACAGCTGGAAACTTTGACTGAAAAAGACTCATCGAGGATATACTTTTCCCAGTTTTGTTACTTCAAGGTCTGTAGTAACTACACAACTAATGATTCCTGCAGATTTAAAAATTATCACAGGAATTCAAGAAGCTCCTTGAGCTACTTGTAAATGAAATGTTTCACAAACTATGGCACATGGTCTGCCTTCTATTTTTAGGTGTGTATCAACCAATAATTAAATCACAAAAAAATTAAACCCTCTCTCACACACATGCTCCCCTAAGCTCAAGCCTTTTGCTAATTCAAAACAACTGGCTGTGCCAGTGATTTCATAAGTTCACTTGGTTGGTTTGATCAAAATCTAAATCTTCTTCTTGACCACATTGAAAAATTAACAAGAAACCCTTTTGGATGACTGATAGATCGATCTTTAGATCCTTATTTCTAAAATATTTTGTGTTTGAAGCGGACTGTCTGTCGATACTGGACAGTAAATACCTGGGTGGGATGTACCATACTGAATAACACTGACAACACCCAGTAAATAATAAAATGCAAAATCCTTCAGTGTGCAGTGAAATGACAGGGGATCACTGCCAGGATCTCTAGGATTTGGCTCAGGAAATGATGATAGAAGGATTATCAATATTTAACCTCGAGTGTTCGTGTGAGGGGCTGCATGAGAAGCAGAAAACTTCCAACTTTGAAACTCTGCACTGTCCTTGAGTGATCACAAGCTGAAGGACTGACCATCCTGCTCCCAAATGAGGGGTAAAACACCCCAGATGACACATGGCAGCACTGATTTGCAATTATTCTGCTGCTTCAATCCGGTGGGACCCAGCCAAGCTCGACAAACTGTAGCACAAGAAGATTTCTTACCCTCAACATGGGCCTGAACGGATCTGTCAACTGTGAAGAAGAAATGACAGCTTGGTTACATGCCTGTCACTCAAACAATTGCTCTAATTAACAAATTTGTATTGCTTCATTAAGAGACAAAATTAAAATGTTATCATTTTACTTTCAAATGAAGCCCTTTTGGGTAATAATTAGTCCTTGGCCCCCGTCCCTGAGCGTGGCCCTCCCCCCTGGGCTGTTGTACCTGAGTGTTGACAAGCAACTCAACAAGGCTCACAGAGAGCTCTGTCCTCTGGCATCAGCTTTAATTTGTTGATTTAATGCTACAAAAACGGCTGGTTAACTCTGCTGAAGAAAGCACAGATCTCTCCTTTGGGCAAACTTTTGTCGTCTTTCAAAGCTGCTCGGCTCATGACCAGGCTGGAGAGTGGACAAGCTCCTTTTCCACAGGCTTGATCCCACAGATTGGGTGGGAAGGGGCTGGAATGGGGTGTCAGCCCCCACCCAGCAGTGTGTCCATCACCAGCCCTGGCATCAGCTCCTTGCCTTGTGCCTCCAAACAGCCACCACTGACGGACTGCCCGAGGGGTTCTCTGCCACAAATGGGCTTTGCCTTAATTATTTTTTCACACTGCAACAGATGTTGGTAAACAGGGGCTGGGTCAAAACCCAGTTTTCTCATTACTACTTTTTATGTGGCCTGTTGGTTTTTTTGGTTTTTTTTTCTTAGTAGATTATTTTCTTATTCCCCTTTTTTTTGCTCATATTTTATCAGTTAATGCTGGAAAATAAATTCAATTTATTGGGTATTGCTCATTTGTTTTGGATTTTTTGTTTTGAAATGCAATCCTAAAGGAGATTTATAGGTGTAAAAGGTACTTAGCAGACGCAGTGATGGCACAATGAATCATCTTGAAATAATCGAAACTCAAGTTGAAAGGGAAAATAAAGCTAAATGACTTCAGGATGGGAGGCTCTAGTTATCTCTGCAATTAGATATATAAACAAAAATGTGGCTCTTTTTGGTATAAAGCTCAACTACAGCACCAATTCTGAGCAAACCAAAGTACTGGAATTTGGCATAACCCAACGAAAACAGCTCTGCTGCACCTTAAAGTGAAGCCATAGCACAACATGGAATTTTAAGGAGAGCTCTTCATTGCTTTTGTCAGAGAGTTCTGCTAAAAATGTGTCTGTGTGATGTTTCTCATGGCAAACAACGTCCATGAATTCTCACACCCAAACAACCCACGGGCAGAGAACAGAAGGAGGAGAAGAGCCCAAGTGCTGAGGCAATAAATGCTGTTCACATCCCCTGGAACGCAGGAACCCAGAGGCACCAAGTGATCAATAAAGTGCATCTGTATTTCACTGGTGCAATCAATGCTACAGTAACCCAGGGAATAACTGCCATTACCCACATTAAAAACAATTACAGAGTACAAACACAAATCTTGGAGAGGTTTGTACAATTCTGTGCTGAATTGGGCTTTTATGCCTTGACCCCTGGGGCTGTGGGGGGAGAGCTGAGCGAGGAGAGAGCTCTGCCACTGCACAGGATCTGTTTGACATTCTTCCCATACAACCTCTCCAGTCCTCACTGACTGAAACAGCTCAGACAGCTTTAGTTTTAGGATATCAATTTGGACACTCGAGGTTTTCAGGAGGAATAGCTTTACTTGAGGAAAACAAAACATTTTTTACGGACCCGTGGATCTTTCTGGAGAAGGGTGTGTGGGACCGTCCCAGGTCTGGCTGCAACATCAATAGGATTGGAAGTCTAGAAACACCACAGGGAGAGAGCATTAATGAGTGACACAATGCTTGAAAGCAACAGAACGTGAAAAATAATAGTTCTTTATCATTACCACTGTCTAAGCAGCAGAGATAAACTTCTTAAAGAGGAAAGAAGAACCATTATAATCCACTTAATAGTATCTGTATTATCATCTCAATTTCCAAAGTTCCATTGTCCACCAACTTCCCATTATTTTAATCCAAAACACTGAGGGAACAGTGATTGTTTACACTGGAAAATCTTTCTAATATGGAAAACCTGATTAGGAACACATTTCTGACGTGGAATCTAAAGCAGTGTTTGGAGGAGCTCGTGCTCTGCTGCTCATCACCAGTGCACTGAGCACACTGAGCATTTCCTCAGTCACTGCCCAAGGGCCTCAGCTCCTTCCACAGGCACTGGCACCACACAGATACCAGGAAAAGTAACATCCAGTTGAAAAAACATGAAAGCTTTTCCCATGATTTGAATGTAAATAGTCAGTTAATAAAACAAAATGCAGCTCTGTGAAGAAAAAAAAACCCCAAACAAAAAAAATCAACCCAGCTCCCCTACATTTAGACAGAGCTTCTTCCTAGGTTAAATGAAGAAAATAGAAATCAGCTACAGCATAACTAACAATTAAGAACCAGAGTTGTTAACAGTCTGATTACCATACAGAGGAAGAATCCCACTAATGAACTGCAATTTACATATTCAGTCATTAGAGTGGATGGGCCAATTTAAGGGAGAAGGTGTCTCCTCTGCAGACATTCCAGGCCTGATTTCAGGCTTTAGTTGCAAAGGCCACAGACTGTGGTTTCCTCCCACTGATAAACAAAGAGTGACTCCAGGAAAACAAAAGAAAACCCCCCTGAACTCCTCACATTTCTCTCTCCCAGCTATCACACACGAGGAGAGACAAATCAGTGTTCTTCACTGTGGTGGAGCTGGGAGCTAATTATGGAAATGAGTAAACAATAATGATCACCATTTCTAAAAATCCTGATTATTACATGACCTTTCATTAATGCACACTATCTCAGAACTAATTATATTGCTTCTAAAGTGAACTATGCCATTATATATATAATTTTTTTAGAAAATGTTTGTATGTGTCTGAACCTAATGAGAAATAACTTCTCTTCGAAGTAAATTTGGAAAAAAGCCTGTTGTCCCCCATGGAATTAGGTTGTAACTCAGACCTCATTGCTCCAGAGTAGGAACCATATCCAACCCCTGACCTGCATCACACAGTGTGAGTAGTAAGGGGTAATTCCTGTCTTACCTTGGGTTGAAAAGCTCCTTGTAGGGATCCAAAGGGGCCAGTTGGAGGAATCATGGGAGGAATACCTGATACAGCTGGAGGATAGGAGTGAAACAGCTGGAACAGAAAGAGAAGAACATCAATGCCAGCACAGGACAGGCAGAGGAGCAACACACAGAAAACATTCCTGTGGAACAGCAGGAAAATGGTACATGGAGAAAACTGAGGAGCATCGGGGTGATCTCGTTGCAACAATGTTAGTTAAAGCATCAATGAGATGTTCACAGATGTCATGATGTTTAGAGCTTAAAAGCAGTTCCAAAATCAGGCAGCCAGAGCCTGTCCCTGCATTAGCCCAGCAGAGCGTGAGACAGACTTTGTTCCTTCAGTTATTCATTTTTAAATTGGAGAGTGGTTTAAATGGTTTCAGTCTGTGAGTCGTTTCAAGAGAAAAGGCAGAATCCTGAGTTGAATAAGACTTGGAAATCTACTGTTTAAGTGGAAAAAACCCTTATGAGTTCTACGATATTGTATCATTAAAACTCCATTAGTACCTTGGGATTTTAATGGTATCTGTAGGAAATGAGCAAAATATGCACAATTCTTACTTCATTAGCCTGTCTGAGAGGATATCCTGCCACATCTAATATTAGCAGACAGACAATCTGATTTGTTAAAAATTAGTATTTAAACAAAATGTTAAGGCAGAACCCTCCAAAAATGTAGGGTAATTTTTTATAAGGAGAGTCTGCTAAGCACAAAAATGTGCACATCTCCACTGACCTCCCTGCCCCCAGTGAGCAGAGAATTTAGGCAAAAAACACAAAAGGCTGCTCTGCAGTAGTGCAGACAAACCCAAGGGAAACAAGCAGGTAAACTAAATAAATAAATTCTTGGCTGGGAGGGTGGTGAGGCCCTGGCACAGGTTGCCCAGAGAAGCTGTGGCTGCCCCATCCCTGGAAGTGTCCAAGGCCAGGCTGGACAGGGCTTGGAGCAACCTGGGCTAGTGGAAGGTGTCCCTGCCCATGGCAGGGGGTGGGACTAGATGGGCTTTAAGGTCCCTTCCAACCCAAAGCAGTCTGTGATAAACCACGTCACCCCAATGGGATCTCGTCTCCATGCTCTGGCTGTGACCCTTTGCCTCACTGCTGTAACACAGAACTCATCCAGTTCCATGGAAATGCTGGGATCACCCACCAAATTGCCTTCTGGTGGCAGTCAGGGATTCCAAGCATCACACTCCAAATACATTCTCCCAGTGAAAGCTCTGGATCTAACGGGATGGCTCCCAGCTCCACAGGGACTGCCACCCAAAATGCCACTGGGGTTCTCTGGCTGAGACAAACCCCTCCGAACACACCAGACCAAAGTCAAGCACTGTCTGCTACTTTTAAGATCAAATAAATGAGTTAATGGCCAATTGAACAGAAGCAGGACTGGGCAAAGTAAAAGACTGGACATAAAGGGCAGGAAAACACTGAAAAAATCCCATCCCAGAGTGAATCAGTATCACAGAGTTTTGATGGATTTGGTTATGCCAGGCATACACATGTGCTTTGCTTCATCCTTTTTCCTTCCATTAGCTCATCTTGCAAGGTCATTTATTCATATTATATTCACTGATCACTGAGAAAATATTTCAGTATTTCAGAGGTATCAGAAGATTTTCTCAGTTCAAAAGCATGGTATCAAACTTCTGTTCAAGAGTGTTGCTGTTGTTGTTTTTAATTCCATTTAATTTGGACCTGCTCCATGCAGTGGTGCAGAAAACACTTTGAGATTTAGTTGATAGTGAATGGTAGGCATTTGAGAAATCATTAAGAGACACTTGTCCTCATTTACAATAACTTTTAATGAGTAAAATGTGCTTTAAATCCTCCAGTGTCTTCTGCATTTAATTCTCTGTGTAATGGACTAATTCCAAATGATGGGAAAAGACGTAATACTTTGTATTCTATTGGCTATGACTGATAATAAGGAATTATTTCCTTAGAGTTTTATAACAACTGGTAAGTTAATTAAATGTGACCTTTCCTCAAGGGCAGAATTATTAATAAAATATAAATATTATAACTCCATGATCTCTTTGTATCAGTTAAATTCCTCCAGCTTTCAGGATATATCTTTCATAGTCAGTGCTCCCTTTTTCCCCAGTATCCCTTCTCTTTTGAGCAGCATTTCCCCTTTCCACAGCTTTCCTTGGCTGGATGTGTGCAATGCTAAACTAGACCTGGCTGGAGGTAAAAATGATGCCTCACTGTGCTAAAAGTGATTGTAAAATCAAAGGTGCCCAGAAAGAAAACTGATTTCAACCTCAACATGAGTTTCTGTGTGAGCTGCATTCCCTGTCCTACAGGACATGGATTCTAACCCTCAAACAGACCTTGTTCTCCTGCAAAGTTCACCTGCACTCCCTGCCAGCTTTTTTAAGGTATTTTAATTCCTGGTGTGGATCTATAGTGGAAACTCTTGTCTTCAGGAAGAAGGTCTGTGGAAGTGCTACAGCTGGACACTATTCCTATTTCTCCTGCCCTATGGGGTGTGCTCTCACACCACTCAGGGGCTGCTTTTTGGAGCTGCAGCTGCTGAGGGAGCCCACAGAGCAGTTCCTGTCCCATGGGGGGATCACACGGAGCAGTTCCTGTCCCATGGGGGGGATCACAAGGAGCAGTTCCTGTCCCATGGGGGGATCACAGGGAGCAGTTCCTGTCCCATGGGGGGATCACAGGGAGCAGTTCCTGTCCCACGGGGGGATCACAGGGGTCAGGCCTTGCTGGGGTTACACACAGATCATTCATCCAGTGTAACCTGGAACCACGGGATCTCCTGCTATCAGCTTGCCAAATATCCCACGGTGATCACTGTGCAACCCCTTCCCAAGGACAAACCTTTCCTGAAGGGAAGGCAGGGGAGGCACAGGGGAGCAGATCTGGGCCAAGGTCCACAGCACAGCTCTCTGGCTAATGGAGAACAGCCTTTCCTGACATTAGAGGGGGTGATGCCATGACCTTTACAATCCAGGTTGATAAGGTATTATGTCACTGAATTTGAAAAGCAGATACAACTGGAAACTTCTACAATGTTTCCTGTATTACATGTGGACTTCTGTGCTTTATTTCTAAAATTCTTGTACCTATCTCCCAGGTCCATGTTCCTGCTTGGATCAACATTGATGACAATATATCTTCTGAATCCATGTAAAGCTCAGCAAATCCCGGGGCAATTTTGCAAACAGCAATGCAAATGAGCAGCATCACCCTTTATTAGCACAGGCTTAAATGTTTGCCCAATACTCCTCGAGCTCTGAGCCTGCAAACACTCTCTTACTGTTCAAGTTACTCAAATCAAGTGCCAGAAATTACCAGGCCTGTTCAGGTGTAGGCCAGGCTGTGAGCAGGGACTGTGGTTAATCAGGACAGCAGAAAGCACCACACCATGGTCTTAACCAGTTTTTTTTGCCCAGTTCCACTTCTAAGCAAAACCAACACATAAAGCCAAGTGCTTTGCAGATTTCTGAGTGCCGATGCAGTACTCCTTCTCTCATCAAAATATCCCTGTAGGATTTAGAAACTCTTGCCATATTCATTCAGGTACCTGCCTCTGCCAATAGGATGAAGGAAATGCAACCCAGATTTCAGCAGCAAATGAATCACCCTTAGGAGTAGAAGGTTTACACTTAACTGGAATATTAAAAATCGGTTCATCTCAATAAATAACATTTTTGGTAGCTTATATAAACACATCTAGTGCATAGCTGGATTCATGTTGCTGTCATCAAACAGAGCTTTCAAAACATAACAAGCCCAGTGGATCAGCTGTGCCTTTGAAATCTGAAGAATAAGGCAGGTTTTCAGATTTTATCAAACAAAATATGATAGATTAGGAAAACTATTAGATTACCTATCCCTGGAGGGTTTGCATGATAGTTTGTCAGTTCATTTCAAGTTTCTTAGGAAAAATATCAGCCTAAGGGTTTGTGGCACAACCGAAACACCGTGATGGAATCACTGCTCCCTCCTGCTCCATGGAACAGTCAGCTCTTCTGTCTCATCTTTTCACATCAAACCTCTCCAAATGGTGTATGAGCAAGAGATCTTTTGATTGGAAAAGCTGATACTGCATCTTGATCAGAAACAAGCACCACGAGCACAAGCCTTCAAAAGCCAAAGCAACCAAGGACGATAATGGTAAATCCTGGAGTGATGATTAGGGAGAGATTGGACACTGTGCCGTTGATTGAGTGGTGATCCCAACCCACCACAGAAAAGCAGTGAAGTCAGTTTGAAACAGAGCAATAAAACTCACACTGTGACGGTAGAAGGGGTCAACTTTTGTAGGGTATTTGTCAAACTGCAAAGGGATCAAAGCACAAACTAGTTACTTGATATTTCCTTGCTTTACTTCTGTTGGCAAAATAGAAGACAAACTTCTCTATTGTTTGGCAACCAACAGAGAGGAAAAAATATGCAGAAAATTAAGTTTCCAATGAAACTGTTTGGGATTTTTCTTTCTTCAAAGTAAATCAAGAGACAGGAAAAGGGAAGAGGCACCAGAGTGCACACTCCTCGTCCTTCAGCTCCCATCCTTCACCTGAACCTACCGCTCACGGGCCTGTCACGAGGGAGGGACAGCCCTGCCTGTCCTGCCCAGCCACACCTGGGCAGCACAGGCCTCCTGCCCCACACCCTGGCAAATTCTTAACACTTTTTGTAATAAAGAATAGAGTTGTGCTCTACTTATCCTCACATTTCTGCCTGGGGTACGCACCATGGGCGGTGCTGGCGTCGGCATGATGGCAGTGGGTGGGATGGCGTGGGGGAAAGGCGTGAAGGTGTGCTGGTGTGTGTGTTGGTGTGTGTGCTGGTGCTGGTGCTGGTGCTGGTGGAACTCGGTCCTCAGGTAGGGCGGGGGGCCCAGGGAGGCCCCGCGGTCCGCGCTCTGCGAGGCCAAAAACCGCGTGTTTAGTTCCTGACGGAGGAGATCTTGTTCTGAAACACAAACAACAAAACAACCCCCGTGAGCTCTGGGGCTTTTCCACACCTCATGCCACTTGTTCTGAAACACAAACAACAAAACAATCCCCCATGAGCTCTGGGGCTTTTGCACACCTTGTGCCACTTTGCTGTCTGTGGCATCAGTGCTGTACTTAAAACCCCGTACAGGGTGAGAAAGCTCCCTCGGTCTTCCCCAAAGGCCTGAGACATTTGAAAGTATCCATTTCCCCTTCCTCATCAAGCCTGCTTTCACATTCCTCTGAGCATTAACCTGAGGGTTCTCCCTAAATTTGTATGGACATGAACACAGCCCTAAATAGGTGAGGAGGTACGAGTAAGCTGGAGGAACAAACGAGTGGCTGCTGCTCATGTGAGTACCCTGATGTACAAACTGATGTTACTCAAATGTTGATATTCCTCCATTTTCTTCCCCCACATCCTTCTCAGTGACCTGGTGGGGCCCTGGCACAGGTTGCCCAGAGAAGCTGTGGCTGCTCCATCCCTGGAAGTGTCCAAGGGCAGGTTGTCCCCTTGGAGCAACGTGGGCCAGTGGAAGGTGTCCCTGCCCGTGGAAGGTGTCCCTGCCCATGGCAGGATGGTGGATCCAGATTAACATCCTTCCAACCCAAACCATTCCGTGATTCCATGATCTCCCCAAAATCAAGGTATAAAAGAGCACAGTTTTCTCCAGTGGTAAGAATCTCTACATCTCACCCCCCACCACCATCTTGCACAAACCCAGGCTCAGCACCACTGTGTTCACAGCCACTGCAGACCCTCTCCCCAGCCAGGGAAGCAACGCTGGGCTCAGACCACAGCTGCAGTGAAGACCTTCAGCAAAGGGGTCACAGATTCTGTGGGGGCACACAGTGGTTGTACCATGGGTTGAACAAAAGAGACATGAAAAAAGCACAGCCTTCCGAAAATAGTCATTCCCAGGGCAGACGAAAAGTCATTGGGTATGTCTGGGTGTTTTGGGGCTTTGATATCACTTAGAATCATCCAGCAGCAAGTGCAGCCTCTCCCCACCCAACAGTGCACCAAAACCAGTTACTGGGACTAAAACCAGAGAACTGGTGTCCTACACTGCACGAGACCCTCCGGGGCCACGACCCCTCTGGCTCTTACCTGAGTAAGTGCTACCAGCGGGGTGTCCTGGAACCTGCAGTGTCCCTGACGTCAGTGGAGGTGGAGGGGGCAGAGCCGTGGGAGGGGCAAACATATTGGGGTGGTGGGGGTGTGCTGGGGGCTGCAGGGTGGGCGTGAAGGTGTGCAGGGGGCTGTGGCTGGGCAGGGACAGCGGGAACGGGGAGGCCGAGGGGTGGTGGGATATGTGGGGAGGAGGGGCCTGAGTCTTGGCAGGAGTGCTGCTTCTGCTGCTGCTGTTAACGAGAAGAAAAGCAATTAGGCTTTGCATGGAAGGGAGGAAAGCTCTGAACACAGACCCCCTCCCAACCCACACACAGCTCACATTAAACACAGCACGGATGGAACTCAAGGATTACAGATGCAGGTTACTATTCCCAGCCCCACCACTGTGATACTCCTTCCTCCCACCACCTGCCGGACCTTCCCTGGACCTTCCCTGGTATCTTTTACTTCTTTTGGTCTCTCCACACCAGCACTTGACACACATTCTCCCTCTCTGTAGGAGGCTGGTACTCTGTCTCCCGACAACACAGGGATGACACACAAAGGAGTAATCAGCCCTGTGCATTCATTACTTAATTATCAGGTCTTTTCTACATGACTGCTTCTGATTCATGTTTTCAGGCAAATGGAGCTCAAAATCAGTGATCACTGCATTAGTAAAAGTTTAATTTTTTTTTATATGAATTAGTAAGATGAAAGACTGCAGAAAATGTGGAATGAAGGTGAGAAGGCAACAAAAGATATGTGCTTATTGTATAGATAATGCCTCTCTCTACCCCCACAATATAAAGAGATAAGACGAGTCAACAAAATAACTATTTGTGATTACGCTGGTTGCAATTTCTCAGGTTTCTTTTCCTACTGATGAGTATCTAAAATATAGTCATGTAGGGCTGAATTCTACTTGTCTTTATTTCATGTAACAACATGTTCTGATTGCAGTGACTTTTAAAGACAAGCAATACCAGCTTGGTTAAAAATAAATCCAAGTCTTAAACACCTCCATAGTCAAAACATGAAGCAACCATAGTGCTAGTTCACCCGGTCTTGAAGGTCACCATCTGCTTCAGATGTGGGGAATGACAACCTTGCTTAGAGCAGGGGAAACCTGAGGGTCCTGACTCCGAGAGACATCACAGGTTTCTGTGAATGTGTTGTTTAATCTCACTGCTCATCTTTAGAGGGGCATAACAAAAGGTGAGGCTGATGAGAGCCAGGTGAGAGAAAAACACTGCAGACTGCCAGGTGTCAGCAGTGCAGGAAACACGAAGCTGCGCAGTCCCTGGTGTGTGACTGGTGGTGCTGGGCTGTGTGCAGCTGCACCACACTCCCTGCTCTGGGGCACAGCAGTGCCTGGAGAATCAGATGTTTACAGGGATGGCAGGGTTAAAGAGTTACCCTTCAGAGAGTAGCCCAGCCTGCAGGAACTGCAATTTTCTTCCCCTCATGTATACTGTGTAAAATCCCCTCCAAAAGCCCAAGTATGATAGGCAGGAAAAGTAAAAGCTAATTTAAAAATACCCAGGGTTTTTGGGATTGCCAGGTCAGACACAGAGTGATCCTGGCTCATCTCAGGGTAGGAGCTGAGGTTAAATGCACTAAGTTCCCTCTACTTCCCAGTGATGGGATAGGATGTGCTGCCACTCATCTCCTTTAGTTAATTCCACTCCACCCAGGCTCAGCCCAGCGCCCCACCCCAGCACGGCAGCAGAGACCCAGACCCACGTCTCCATCCTCCTACCTTAAGCTGTTGAGGCTCAAGCTGCTGCTGTTGTAGGCGGAGAGGGGCTGGGAGAGGCTCTGTGCGGCGGGATGGGGCTGCACGGCGGGCAGGGCCGCCTGGGCCGGCGGCAGCGGCGACTGCGGCCGCGGCGGGTGCTGCCCGGGGGGGTGCTGTGCCGAGGGGTGCTGTGCCGAGGGGTGCTGTCCTGCGGGGTGCTGTCCAGGGGGGTGCTGGGGAGCAGGGGCCCGGGAGGGCTCCTCGGGGGCCGGGGGTAGCGGCGCGGGCAGGGGCGGCGGGACGGGCAGCTCCGGGCGCGGGGCGAGCGCGGGGCTGGGGCAGCGGGCCTCGGGCGGCTCGGGGTGAGGCTGGGCCAGCGGCTGCGCCACCTGAGGGCAAGGGTCTTTAGGCACCACGGGCTCAAGGACGGGGTCTTTGCTGCTGTCCTGGCTCTTCTCTTGGCTCCTTTCTAATCCTGATATTTTGGGGACAGCCGGGCCCCGAGCACCAGGGTCGTCATTGTCAGCGGGCGGACCGACTCCTAACTCCTTATCTGCAACAACACAGAGACAGAAAGGGTTAAAACCAAGCTAGCAAAACCAGTCGCACTCTGGGCAGTTCCATTTTGTTTTCATCAAGAACCACCCATGCCAACGCCAAACCAAATCAAACCCCTCTGCCTGTCTGATAACCCTCCTCAGAACAAACCCCCTGGCAGAGAAGAGACACCCTGTTTAGTGCTGCTGTTCTCTATCGTTGTCACTCATCATCACTGACCCGCTGAGGGAACCAATGCCACCCGAGCTCTGGACCTCACCACAGAAACGTTAGGGTCGGAAAAGACCTACAAGACCATCACCCACCAACCCAGCACCACCACCATGTTCACCACTAACCATGTCCTCAAGGGCCACATCCACATGTTTCTTGAACACTTCCAGGGATGATGACTCCACCACTGCCCCGGGCAGCCTGTGCCAGTAGTGCCTGACCACCCTTTTAGTGAAGGAATTTTTCCCAATATCCAACCTAAACCTGCCCTGGCACAGCTGGAGGCCGTTTCCTCTCCTCCTATCCCTTGTTCCCTGGGAACAGAGCCTGAGCCCCCCTGGCTCCCCCCTCCTGTCAGGGAGTTGCAGAGCCAGAAGGTCCCCCCTGAGCCTCCTTTTCTCCAGGCTGAGCCCCCCCAGCTCCCTCAGATGCTCAGACCCTTCAACATGACACAAGATCTAAACATTAAAACCCTGGCTCTTTTTGGTTGGCTGGTCAGGAATGACTTACTTCTATTTTCCAACTCTTTAATAATATTGATTAATTAATATTATTATAATTTTAACATTTGATACAGTGGAGTTTTGCTCACTGGGGCTCTACAGCAATTTCCCATTGGAATCACTCCCCAAACCTTCTGCCAAAGCATATCTGGTCCACGGCACCCCTTGGAATAAATTGAGGGAATGCTGCTGACCCAAGTGATGTCTGAAGGAGGGGGTATCAGGAGCACCATTTAGGGCTGTATCCCACAATAACTTGGAACAGCTGAACTTACACCTTCAGCAAATATGGAAGTGCAGCATATGGAAAGCACAGAAGGTTTGAAGGGAGTTGGGACAAACTTATGATTAAAAAAGGATCCAGTGTTCTAAATAACCTTAAGACAGGAAAACTTTACTCCTTCTTCTGCCAGTTTTAAGGGGTAAAATGACTAAATGCATAATAAAATAATACACATCCAGAGAAAATTGTTGACAGCTCCATTGTCCAAACCCCAAAGTAAAGGAGTGAAATAAAGAGGGAGGGGAGTGAACTTGCCCAGCCCACAGCCCAGGCACACATTCTCCAACCATCACATCACTGGAGACAGCCTGGCAGCAGTGTGTCACAAACACAGCATCATCTGGGTTTCATTTAGTTAAGACATCAAAACAAACCATGTCAGGCACCGTTACTGGTGCTTTACAGGCCCTGTGCAAAGGTAGCAGCAGAGGTTTTTCATAGTTTGTAGACAGGAGATGGGGAAAAGAGGGTAAAGAGAGTCAAAAGGGAGGTAAAGAGGATAAGAAGGAAGAAGGAAAGGGGAAAAAAATAAGCAGACGTATTTGATGAGGACCTACTTTAATCACTTCTGGAATATGTAACCTGTAACAGGCACAGAGGCTCCTCCACAAATTTGGATCAGAAGACTATGGAGGCAAGAGTGGGACTCCAGAGGGATAAAAATAATTACTGTGCCGTATGCTCAGGGTCCATCTCACTGCAATTAAAGTGCAGGTTCTAAATAAAGGGACTTCCCTTGCATTAATTGTTTGGATCAATCCTGTTTGATCAAACAATTTTAGAAATTAGACAGAGAGTGATCTGCACATGTGTAAAGGCAGGTCCCCAAGGAGGAAAGAAGTGAGCACGTTTGTTCAGGAATAGGTGGATCTATGTTCTCAGTCCTTACAGGTGTAAGAGTTAAAAGGTTTGGTTTTGGGTTTTTTTGTTGGTTTTTTTTTTTAACACAATTGCATAATAATTAGGGCTTTGAGGGCTTAGCCTTGTCATTAGAAATCCCCCACTAGATGAATGAAGTAGGTGGTCTGGAAATCCTGCACAGGTGATACTTCCAAATCTACAGGGAACACCTTGCACTCAGTGCATTCATTGAATCCTTCCACTTGGTATTTTTATCCCCTCTCATGTGTGGAACATTTATTCAGCACAGCTCTGTGCTGAGGATCTGCTCCTCATGCTCCTCCTCCCCAGGAGAAAAGGGTTGGGAATGCCACTGTCTCCTGGGGATCTTTTGCTGCTGCTCACATCTTCATTACACAGCACCCAAGTGCCATTCCTGGGAGTCTGCACTTGGGAGATGCTCTTTGAAGTGAGATAACGTTGTTCCAAATGTCTCACACCAAATCTGCCCTTGGTTTCTCCCTCTCCCTGTCTAACCCCCCTGCCCCCACACAGTCCCCCAAGACAGGGTCAGCTGTCCAGGAGTCTCTTGAACCCCAGTAACCTAGGGCACATGTCCCTGCATGGGTGATAATTATGATGTATAAATCACAACTTTCTCATGCCACAGTATCTCTTTGGGGAGCTGAAATCTGCCCTCAGTGATGAACATTACCAGTTACAAGTACTTGGGCTCCCAGTTCTCCCAGCACTCACTGATGGAGCACATTTTGTCTAAATGAGTGGCATCCTCAAACTCCCCAGGGCTGCCCATGGCACTGACCAGGCTCCCCAGGGCAGTGGGCACAGCCCCAAACCTGCCAGAGCTCCAGGAGTGTTTGGAATGCTCTCTGGAACAGGGTGGGATTGTTGGGGTGTCTGTGCAGGGCCAGGAGTTGCACTGGATGATCCTTGTGGGTCCCTCCAGCTCAGGATATTCTGTGATTCTGTGTTTCATAAGGAGGGTTTGAGTCTTCATCAACAGCACTTCAGGGTCACACAAACAAGATTAGGCTTTTTCTACCAGTACATCCTGACTGAGAGGCTCAGTGTGAGAGCTATGGGGAAAAAAACCCTTTATGTCACTGTGACACAGACAAGCCAGCCTTCTGAGTTTGTTTATCATCACAGGAAAGTTCACAAGTGAACTTTCTTTGCTGGCAGCCTCCACGCTCTGTTTTGGATGAAGTGGAATCACTGCATCGTTATTCAGGAGAGCAGGAACTGTGATGTAACTTCCATGGCCTCCCCTTCCCCACTGGGTTGAACCTGCATGCAGCAGCAGTCAGTCTTTTACTGAAAAAGGAATAAAGCCATAATTTGATGCTGAGGACTGAGGAACATTGGCTTAGCTTGTCCCACCCACACAGGAGATGCAGCTGCCATTATCTTCCTTTCCTGTGCCATTTGATGTGTCTTAAATTTCAAATTCCTCTGTTTTTCACTTAGCACAGACAAACTGGGGATGTCTCAAGAGGAAGGACTCCCAGTAGCCTCCATGAAACCCTGCAGTGTGTGTGATTCTTAGTGCATTGGCTCCATTACACTTCCCTCCAGAGCCATGGATTTGTATAATAAGCACACATTATATGCAGCTTTCCATCACTGCCTCTCTTCCTAGTGTGCAAATCAGTAAAATTTGCCCCAAACTCCACATTTTGGCTCCTTTGGACCAGCTGGGTGGTCCCAAAGAGCCAGAGGAAGGCCAGGAGTGGCCAGTTGAGAGCATCACAGCCACAGACGATGCCCAGCTGTGCTTCTGCTGACAGAAAGGCCCCATCAGAATTTGCCAAATTAGAAAAATCCCAGAGATTCACCAATACAGAACACTCTCAGTTTGCCTGGTCAAGTGTTGCTTGCAATGGGTTCACCGTGTCTGGTTGCATGGGAGGTGCCAAGAGCCAGCACAGGGCATTCCATGACGAGAGCTGAGGCCCCTGGGCAGCCCCAGTGGCAGCCAAGGACGTGTGACCTGGGCATCCCTGCCCTGCCAGGACCTGGGCAATGAAACCTCCTCAGGCAACGTCCTGCATGATGCTGTCAGCTTACAGTGGCCAAGCTTTCCTTCTGAACATAAAATCATCCAACTTTTCCATGTCCAGGTCTGGAGTGCCATCCAGAAACTAGGCTGTATCATATCCTGTCACTCCTCCCTCTGCCTGCATCAGGATTCAGCCTCTCCACGTCTGGCCTGGGAGCCTTCAGGCATCTTCAGAGAGCTTCTCAAAACCAGCACTAAATTTTTCACTTTCCTGAGAGGAAAGTTTTGAATTAAGCTCAAAGACCTTATTGCACAAGTAAGAAAATTACACGAATTTTCAGTGTTTTGCAGCATTATCTCTGGGACTGAGCATTCAGCCTACCAAAGAAAGATTTTATGGCATTATTTAATTTAAAAATAGTATTAATTTTCTTTTTCTACTTTGCTAAGCTGAACTCTTCTCTTGAGAACACTGCCTCTGCCTAACTCAAGTTTTCTGCAAACTTCTTAATGCAAGATTAAAAACACAGATCTTTCAAAAATAGAAAGACTCTTTTTCTCCAGCTTTACCACGGATAAGTGTGGAGTTGGTGCAAACTGTCACAGCAAATACAAGCCCCTAGAAGATCTCTGGAGTCATGGAGTGCAGGAAAGATCTACCCCACAGACCACCAGCCCTGGGAGGTTCACCTCAGCAAGCACTTTACAAGGCTTGAAACAATTAATCAGGTTGGAGATCTTTCATATTGATTAGACATTGGTCAGTGCAACACTGGGATGAACAGGGGCAGGTGGCAGGAGCTGTTGGGTGCACCAGCCAAGAGGGACCACACAGGCCCCAGAGGGATTCAGCTGCTCCACTGGATACACATAATTTGCTAAAAACAATTTCTCATTTTTAGCGCACAGTCATCTTTCATCCTAATTTCCAAGGACACTAACAAAGCATTCGATTATGCAAATGAAGAAGATGCCTTGGAAAGCACGGTTACTGCAGCTCTGTCATCTGCTGATAGCAATTACTCCCCGGTAAGCAGGTATTTAGTACAAGTGAACAGCAAGGATGGTGACACACTTTGCACTTAATTATAAAACAAAGGAAATCATTCAGGACAAAAGATTTTGCTACCTCCTGT